TGTATTTATTTACAAAGGAACTAATATGAGTCAAAAACTATCGAACTAATACGTTTTGCCCACATTTAAAAGAAAGTATTCATCAATAAATTTGATGTTTAATTTCAAAGTTGTTTTGTATAAATAATGATTAATTTGCGTTATAAATATTTGATAAATTGACGATTAAATGTTAAATGTAGAGTCAACAACTTGCTATAAATAACGTGCAGTGATAGAACTTCGAAAATCAATTGCAACCATACCATAATACCTTACGTTCATATATCCTAAGCAATAGATTGTAGCTTATCCTCGAGGCAAGAGTTGATGGTATTTGTAAAGGGATCGCCTGTTAGTCGTGCTGAGTTTACGCCACAATAGAGTTGTTTCTCCTCTCAAAACTTCCAACCAATTATTTCTTATAGAGTAGCATGCTGTGGAAGTTCAGACTCGCGTGTTTCTTCGTTGTAGTTGTTGTTGTTTTTTTTTCTTTGTTCCCGAAAAAAAGAAAAAGGAGAAGCAATTTGCTGCATGTTTGATTCGAATTACCGCGATTCACGTCATAATGTTTTATAAGGAATAAGGTTTACGATAATTGACGTTTCGTTTAAATGGAAATAATAATGATGAATTAACGCTGAAAATGTAATTACGACTGTTTCAATTAGAAGAAAATATATTTATAAATTAATACTGTTAAATAACACTTAGTACATTTGGTTTTAGAATTATATTACAATACAATTACATTAACCATTCATTGAAAGCAACTATTGATCATTGATATTTCATCCAATTATTCAAAATTTGTATTATATAACCACATTATACTAATGTATAATTATGATTAAATTTTAAGTTCTGAAGTTTGAGTCGTTTCAAACTTTTGCGTTGTTAATCTAATAGAATAACAGTTGAATTTGAATCAAGTCTATCTTTATATTTTCTGTAAGAAGTATGATACAATATCCAGGTATTATTGCAATTGATTCTTTGTTGTCGAAAGTTATGAGTTTTCGCAAGTGACAACAATTCTCGTCTCTGTAGCTTTTATAATTTAATTTCCAGTTGTTCACGTTTTATCTGTATATGGTCTTTCCAAGTTAACATTCTATATAAGAGCATACCCAAATATCTCACTTTGGTTGATGTCGCAAATTCTGTAACTGCAGCAACAATAAACCTACTTCTTGTTAAAAGAAAAGATTTTCTTAGATTTGCACAATTTGAAGATGATGTTTTGAAATTAAGAATTAATGAAATTATTGAATTAATTATTTGTGTGCATTTTTTTTATACAAATACAAAACGAGATCGAGAAAGTTCAACAGAGCTTCTTCAATTTTGACATCTTTTAGGTGAGATACGAATTTAAAACTTCACACAAGCAAAATTTGTTTCTTATTAGTAACTTTAATGATATTTTTTTTATTTTATTGCACATAATCTTAATAGGTAAAATACAACTTCATAAGGAGAATATGGTTATGATGATGAATCCCTGATGTAAGCTAATCATCAGCACAGAGGGCTTCTTTCCAATTTTGATGAAGTAACTGCATCGCGCAGAATTAGAAACTAATTGGCCGATGTATTTGTCCGTAATTGGAAGGCACGTAACATGTGTACCGCAACAAATAAGTAATTCCGAATGTTTGCTCTCCGCGAGTTCTGCGGTGGGTTTATTTACACCTCGAAAGGAATTCATGACGAGGTGCGTTTAAAGAGCAAACGTTCATATAATTTCGTGTTTCGGTATGTCGGCATTAAATTACAGTTAAGAGAGAAGCAAATAGATAGAACTGCAAAGTACAGAGAGAAAGAAACATTAATATAAAAGAGTTGGGTTCGTTTTTGTATCGAGCATTCAGACAACGACAGAGTGTCAAGGTCGTTCGGTATCTCTTGTTGCATGAATTGCGTGTGTCGCACCGAAACATGTTTGCATTGGTAAAACAAAACGTAATTCCCCCTATCGGATTGCATTCCCTGCCTCGGGCACTGGGTTATTTCGCAAGCTCGGATCTTCTTCAAACTTTACTCGCAAAACAACAGAGTAACAAACACAACAATAGTAATAGAAAATCAGGATGTTTCCAGATGGCTGCACAGTCGAAAGTTGTTTTCGATTTTCCTCTTGGCAAAACTCGACCGATCGATTTTTTTCAATAATAAATAATACCATGAAGAATCTGTATCGTAGCATAGCGGAATCCTAACTGTAGTCCTCCGGTCTGCGTCTCCTCTGTGCTCTTCAACAATTGTCGCCTCCGACGGTTTTGCAACGGCCTCGATGGACGAGACCAATCAAACGCTATTATTCTTCATCGGCAAATCTAAACAAACCAATTGCACATCGGTTTTCTTGAAGCTCGCTCGTGGTCTGCTTTGATCGTCGTGTGCGTGTTCCTCCTTTCTGTTCAACGAAATCAGAATGCGATTCACGCCTTCCTTAAACTGGAATTTATTAGGTCTCTGGTATCGTGAAGCGTACGTACACACAGAAACACTCACAAACACGTAGGAAATAACAATTGTACGATATTGCCATTAAATACGGTTAACGGTAAAACGAACGTAGGACGATTTTAGTAAAAGCGAGATGGAGAGCAGAATAAGTGTTTATATTTAGGACGATATTATTTATACAAGATTCTACGATGCAAATAAATTGTTTTCTTCGGTTATTACTCGCGCCACGGACATTTACAGCGTTTTCCCAGTGTACATGGACATAAACAATAGTTGTAATAGTTCCTACTTATGTAATTCAATGAAATATATTGCCTTCGTGCATTCCTCGTTTACATCAAAATATGATCGTTATACTCGTGATTAATGTTCGCATAGCATTTGAGGTTTATTAGATTTACCTATCAGATATGTTTAATGCACGTGGTTTAGCATAATTATTTTAAATATTATACAACAATGATATCAAACAATTCTATAGGATATAAAAACTATTGTATCTAATTAGGTAAGACAAAATCTATCAACTTTTTAAATTTATGCCAATATATTTCCTGCTAATATTTTGTTTATAAAAAATCCTATCCTTTAAAACTTGGTATTATATACTATAATATTATGAATTGAGTTTCAATATTGCCTCTCTCGCTAATGAGACAATTTTTTTAATTATTTATAATTGGAATGTGTGTCAAGGGTTTACTTCGCTGAAAGTATTTTCTCTAATGTTACATTCGCACTACAACAAACATTATACATAAATATCTTCCTACACAGTGTGTATGCGTATATCTAAGAAACATAATTCCCCTAACGATAGTAATGTAGAAGTTGATACAATTACATATATCAATTAAATAGATATTTATGTTCCGTGTTAAACTTACTGTAGACCAGCGTATTTCAATTTATGGATAATGTCACCTTGTGTCAAAACGAGAAACCGGTGAAATACTCTTAGCTGTACATGTTAGATTGCGCGTCAAAGTTTGGGAAACGTTGTTGTAGACCACGTGTCTGATAAAGTTTGAAGACCGAAGCTGTAGATGTAGATCACATTATACTTTTCATCATCCCAATATTGATGATAAATGTGTACATAGAGACAAATCTTGAAATATAACAAAAGTTTATTGTAAATGTAATCCAGCGGTCGGGGAACTTTTTTAACCATTACCCCAAAATATTATTGGGTAAGTCGATATTACCCCCCCCATACTGAAAAGAAAACAATCAATGTAAATTTTAAATAAACATTATTTATTGAATTAATTTACATTTATATATTTATAAAAAAAAATTCTTAAATTGGAACAAACAAAAATTAATTGAAAACTTTCCCCCTTCAGGTTTTGGAAAAATGATGTTGCTTCATGTTTGATATAATTACTTTAAAATTGGGACTTTTTGATGTAAGAGCAATTTGAATACAGTCTTCGGCGTTTAATCGATTTCTGTTTTTCGTTTTTATGTTCATTAGAGTGGAAAAGCCTTGTTCACAAAGGTAGGATGTTGCAAATGGCAGCAATTTTTTTACCGCCTCCTCAGTCTTTGTAGCCTTTGACAACCAAAAAGACGACAGATTTGCTCTGGTCTCAAATTGAATACGTGCTTCAGTATTGGATCGAAGTTCAAGAATTGCCTCTGCCAAACCTGGAGATACTGCTGGTATGTTAGTAATTTCACATTTAAAAGGATCTACAACCCAATTCACAGTTTGTACATCAAGATCTGAAAAGTAGTCAGAGAACTGCTCTCTGAGTTTGGTAAGATGAAATTAGAAAAATTTCCCTATTACCCAATTTTACCCCATTTTGGGTAATTTACCCCGGTTCCCCGACCGCTTTTTGATTACATTGTAATCAGTTATCTTTTATAGGAAATGAAAATATAATTGCATGATTTGATTTTTGGAATTAATAGAGCAAACCAAGTGTGAGATTATATAGAAAAGGTCGTTACCAATCTATACGCTTGGGTGGGATCGAAACCACCACTTTTGGCCTTTAAGTTTGTTGTAGAAACCATATCTAAATGGCATCGAGCATATCGAAAATCAAATTTATATCCGACCGCAATGAATAGAATACATTGTAATAAAACATAATGTTTTGTCATTTTAACGGCGCACACGTGATTTATTATTTGTATTACAACAATGTATCATAATAATATATCCAGCATGTATGGAGATGTTTAAATAATATATTGAATTAAATAAGTAATGCGATTTGATTCTTAATAAAAATCACTAAAATTAAAGATACAAATATATCAAAATCCCTTTTTTCTATATATTTTTGTAATCTCTGTTGAGTGGGAAATCCCTTGCATTTTGTTAATTATATTTACTTTCTACATTTTTTATGATAATTGTCATGTAATCTATTTTTTTTACTAATTTGTATTTTATGGTTTATTAATGGACTAGGCTGATAAATTGCAACTTATTTTTTAATAATTAAATGGAAGATTCGTTTTGCCTTTACTGTTTTAGCTAACAATTTCATTTTTTTTAGATGACTAATAAAAATATTATGAAATACGCCATGGATTTGAGATTGTTATAAAATTGTGTACCAAATCTACCGTCTCCGGTTCTCGTTGCGCGTTTCTCGATCATATCCTTCGGCGTAGTCTTGCGATCGGTGACTTGCCCTAATGCGGCCATCAGATCAATGAATCCCGCCGTGATGTTCCTAGTTTCGAATCCGAATTCTGAAGCCCTGTAATCCGATGGGAACGTGTGATGGTAATTGTGGAAGCCTTCACCGATTCCGATGTATCTCATTAACGTATTCTCCGTCGGACCTATGGTTCTGCAAAAGAAAATCGAAATCTAGTCTTCACGTAATTCGTATTCGTTTTGCCATTAGCCTGATTGTCTGTCGAGGCCGATGCTTTTACCACTTGAAAACTAATTGATTCAATATCGAATTCGCTTCTGGTCTGGTACACTCGTCACGTATAGCCAAGTGTGTCAGAAGCCGACTTTTCCCAAGAGGAATGCCCAAAAACTTATGTGCGTATGTAAATGTTTCTTACTTGTCGTACGGTTTTTCCCCGTACAAATGAGCCAAACTGTTGATGCACCACGTCAAGTTCACGCTGACGACATACGACGCGACGGAACCCAATATCGAATTCCATCCATCTTCGTTCCAAAAGTACCAAGGGACGAAAGCTGGAAAGACGAACGCCAAAAGCGTAACCAGAAAGAGATAGTACCTGAAAATACTCTCGTATACTGGAGCGTTCATCGCGACGCAATTATTGTGTTTACTTGTGTTGGAACATGACCACGGGGTTCGCTTTCAAATCCGACATGTCGATGGTTTTTCCCTTCTCGATAATGTCTGGATGTTTCCTCACCAATAACCATCCGACGTGACTGAAAAAGAACCCTCTTTTCGCGTTGTGCGGATCGGCGTCCGTTTCGCTGTACTTATGATGCAATCTGTGATCTCTGCACCAGATGTAGATGCTGTTTTGGTATGTGAAAGTCATCATTGTTGCGAGTAAAGCTTGGAACGGTAAGCTGGCTTTGTAGCTTCTGTGGCTCCATAGTCTGTGAGCACCTGCCGTCACCCCTAAATTTGCCAAGAATCGAAAAGTCTTGACTGAAACAACAAGATTTACTCAACCAATCATTCGGCTGCCTTAAATATCTTACTAAAAATCAATGTTTGCAATTTCGATTTGAATCGCTGCGTGTATCCATAAACTGCTAAAATGTGTAACACCCCCAGTAGCACCACGTTCAACCAGACGATGTCCCACTTGTACTTTTTAGTTTCTTTCTTTTGCTCTACTTTCGACATTATCGCTGACTGACTGAGCTTCTTCTACTAAAGCAATATTTATAGATGACACTTAACTAATGTGGGTTTGAAATTAAGTCTGATATATAACTATGAATGCAGTTTTTATATATAATTAAGTAAGTTAATGACTTCGCTTTGACCTTGCTGCATTTGAAATACAATTATGTAAATTTAGATTTAAATTTTAAAGCCTAAACTCAGCGAGGAATCATATTTTATACTGTGGCAAATGTCTTACTTGCGCCCGTCTTACACAAAAAGGACAACAAATTTTCATCCTTTTACCCAATTTTAAGCGTACAAATACAATGTTATCACATTACATGAAGTAAATTACAACGAATATCATAGTTTATTATGTTGACGACTTTTCTTAAATTATATAAAGTAAATATAAAGTCCCCCAAGCTGCGATCCTGCATACTCATGTTACAATGTTTCTGCCTTAAATTTTAGTTATTTTAATTTTTATTTTCAGTGAATTATTTTGGATTTGTTACTTCTACGAATCATATCCGTTGAATACCATGGAATGATTTAATAAAAATCACCAATTCAAGCAATATCCGTGCTTCTCGTTGTTTAACTTTACGTAACCATTGAAAATGTATATTTCATAATACTTTTATTATTTAACAGATCATATATTCAATTCTAAACATAATTACACGTAATTTTCAAAACTGCAAACTTTCGATTATAAATCAAGACATCTGTTTTGGTAATCATCGTTTCTGCGAAACAATTGTTCTTCAATGATCAGCTTTCTTCAACGTCAACGAATTCCTCTCATACACAAGTATATATATATATATAAAAAAAACAAACTGCAAATAACATATTTATCCCAAAGAAGGCAATAAATAAAACGAATGAAGCGAAACCGATTTCCTTCTTTCGCAAGTCTCTTTTTGGCGTTCCAGGAGAAATTGATGCCGCATTATCTAATCGAAATCGAAGAAACGCAATCGTACTATATATTTTTATTTTATTTTTGTTGCTATATGTACGTGTGTTATTTGTCTGCACTCGTAAAATATTCCTCGGTAAGAAGAGAATAAAGTAGGCATGCGTTTGCGATGAAATGAACCTGAATAAGGAAACCGGTGATGTTTTCCGCGTAACGGACTGTTATTACCTTGTTAAAGGAAATAACTTGCGTAACACATACACTTTTTTTTTGAGGTCTGTTGCATATATGTATTGATTTTCTAAACGTTTCTAATTAGAATAAGATTAATTTCCTTAAGTCATCAGAATTTCATTGCAAATAGTATAAACAATGTAGGTTTTAATAAAAAGATAAATCTAGTGGTTCTAAATGTTAAATAAAATCATTGGTTTCTTCAGCTGTAATAAACTATAGATGTACAATTAAAATATGTATGTCCTTGAACTTCATGGCAATGAATGGAAAACTTATCTTTTTGATTAGAATCCTCAAATATGGTTTTGGTTATTCCACATATTATTTTTTTTATCATAAGTTTCTGTTCTTTCGATAAGAATACATTATATACAAATTTGGTTCTAATGGACTTTAGAAAAAATAAACACTCTTATCTTAGTTTATAGAGGACTTAAATCAGGGGTCGCCAAACTTCTTTTACCGTCGACCCCTTCAAGAGTTTCTTGACTTTTCATCTAAAACTAATTTAGCTTTGAAGCCTAAAAGCTTAAATAATCGTGACATCTTTAACTTGTAGACTGGTTTGTAAGTCATTTACAATATTTGATTTTCCACTTTGGCAATTCTCAAATGTGTTAGAAATATTTTTTTAAGTAAAAGTAAGATATTTCGAATAAATATGTTAATCGCATATTGACGCATTAATGACGATGTAAATGCAATCTTCTTTATGAATTATTAATAGTATAGGTATGATTCAAAGTTTATTTGAGCGAAGTTTATTTTCCTAATGGCTTTCCACGCGGAATATCAACAATATTCGTTCCAGAAATGGAGTGGCATGAAAGTTAAGAGGAAGAAAGCAATAATATCTGAAAACACTTTCATATGTAGAAGTTTATGCAACATTTTTAACGCCGATCGACCAACAACCTTAACAATGATAGTGAAGAATATGACTGTAACTGTTTGCACGTATAGAAGGATAATTTCACATTTTCAATCAGAAATTAGAGAATCTCCACACAAACTCCCAACAAATTTGATGATGTAACAATAAATACAATTATTTTCTATAATAACTACTTTCTCGAATCGACTCAAATTGAAGGACTTACACAACTTGTTACAAAGAATCACGTTTTTCTTTAGTATTCTTCAATATTCGATTTTAATTTAATTGTAACATTCTAATTGTCATTAGCATTGATTTTACTAAACATTTATATATTCTAAATTACCGTTATTAATCAATACGTGGGTGATTTTGAGACCGTGAGATATTTGCAATTCCATTTCTTGTTTTATTTTTTTCAGTGGAGAATATTTGCGTATAGCAAAGTTTCTAACGGTGTTCGTTTTCCCATGCATATTAACTAGTTGTTATTTGAATCAATTAGCTAATTCACGTGTGTAAGCATCAATTTTTATTATAACTTAAAATCGATTCAAAACTTGAATAATAAAATTCATCAGAATAAAGTATATTTCCATTGAAGCAAACTTTTTCTGGATGTGAAAAAAAACGAACTGAAACGTGTAGATTTTGTGTAATTTACATTCTGCCGAGTAGCCATTTAGTATGCAGGTGCGTTTTCTCCATATAAACACAAACGTCATTTGGTTTCTTTTGCTTTATTTCGGCCGATGATGTGTAGTTTTCGGCACCCGAAAAAGCCATAAAACGTGCATTTTTATACATGTCCCGAAGTGAAAATTTGAAGAGGAAATCATGTGAATCTGTTTTAAATTACTATAGTTTTTTTTCATAAGGTGTAGCAGAATTAACTGCGTCAGTTCTCAATTAACCAGATGCGTTTTGGTTGAATTGGCTAAATGACCGAGAACTATCAATTCATTATAGGATTGCTGTAAATAAGGACGTTATAGTTCATGTCTTTTTTTTTTGTACGATACTGATTCGGTAAATTGAGGACGACCCTATTAAAATAAACGTTTGGTGGTCGCATGCGAAAATTGATCCAATTGCATTTTAACAATGGAAAAACCTTCGAATGGCATTCGCTTGAATCGTGTGTGTGGCAACTCCACAAAATGTTATTATTATAAACGCGTGTTGGGAGAAATCATGGATGGGTTTATGGGATTGTTGCGTAACGTTGTCGCCTCTGGCGTGATGAGGTGAGAGGTCGAAACGTTGATGATGATGATCGACTCTCGCTCTCGTGTATAATGATAATAAGTTAGATGGAGAGAATGAATGAAAGATTGAGAAAGAAAGGGTGAGAGAGAGAGAGAGTCGTAGGTCAGTGATGACGAGAAACAAAAGCACAAAGAGTAGATTAAAAATGATCGGAAATGTGCCGATTTCGCAGTCGAGTAAACAAATAACACGCGATATCGTTCCGATGGTGTTTTTCAAGCGAAATGTGTGTTACGGTTCGAAAGTTTGGAAAACATTCATCTTCGAATGGAGGCGGTGGCAGTCAGCAGCAGCAGTAACGGCGGCGGCGGCGGATGGAAATAATTACATATTTATCGCGCATTCGGTGAAATCTGTATCTCTAATAACACGACGATGACTGTAATGTCGCAACGGCAACGAAAGGAAATTAGCGCCCTCAACCACTTTCGACTTATTCTTTTCTTCTCTTTTTTTTTTCACTTCTGGGAACAAACGCGATGTCCCCAAATGCAAATTTACAAAGATACCTTATACATATCTCGTTCTCACAACATGCGATCTAATTGCCTTTTACGTTCTAATAGGATTAAATACATTAAGACCAAATGTTTAATCCTTTATTACCTGAACACAGTTAAAAGAAAAAATATATATTTTTTCTTTGTATTTATTATAAAACACATTAAAATTAAATTACCTATACATTTTTATTAAATTTCAGAAATATTTTCAATGAAAAAAAATATGTACTACTTTCTGGCAAAGTCAAGCAATTTTAAGCTTAATTCGTATAATAAATGAATTATAGTGATTTAGATTACAAAAATTTTCATATATATATATTTAGTAACAATATTATTTTATAAACTTATTTCATGGTATTCTGCTATAATTTTTCTTTTCATTACCACATACAAAAAATAACCTATATACAAGTAACAAGTGTTACTTGAATGTAGGTTTATACTCACTTTGTGTTTCCAATTGCAAAACAATCATTTTTGTATACAATTTGAAGTACCAACAAGTATTTAGGTTTGTTTCACGTCTCTTTATAATTTAAATAATGACATAAATGTGCCAGTACTTATAAGTACCGTCAGACGACAAAGGGTTAAAAGAAAAGGATATTATTAATCCTAAACTTTATTCAATGCTATCAAAATTTATCGAAATGAATCTTTAGTAAGTTTTAACATGAGTTATACAGGTCTCATTTAAAACTATCGTTTAAATATTCATAACTTAAATCATATAATTAGATATAAATAACAATACTAGATAGATTTAAATAATATAATTCATATACACGTATTTTGTAATCCATAAAGAAATTGTTTTATTTTTTTATAAATCTACGACTAAGAAAAATACGAATGATAGAAGTATATGTAAATTTGGTTTTGATGTGGTCGTTCCGGTGGCAATTGCAAGCCGATGTTCGAAATCCCGACGTTCGAAATCCCGAGTGTATCGAAATCCCGACTATATCGAAATCCCGACAGTGTCTTTTATTAATATAATTTTCTACAACAACATTTTTATGGTAGTCGGGATTTCGATATAGTCGGGATTTTCATTCTCGGGATTTCAAGCGTCGGGATTTTAATACTGCCGGGATTTCGAACGTCGGGATTTCAATAGAGACCGTCTATTGTAATCCCGACTGTTGTCGGACTTGCGATATAGACCCGGTCGTTCAAATGATCTAACGGTCTATTATTGTTTGTTTTTATCACCGTAATCATTCCAACTTATGAAATATACTATTTTCTCTTAGGAACTGATTCACTGTGTTATGTACACTGTTTTGACGATTGTTTAATCTTTAGAAATGATGAATCTATATTCCAAGAAACTACCCACAACAATTTTCTGTATCATATTTAAGCATGTCTAAACATTGATAATTCCAATTTGTTTTTTGATTAATTGCGCACTGACGCATCTTTAATTAGCAAAATATTTGTAAGTAGATAAATTCTATCTAATTCTATTTTGATTTTGGAGTCAGAAAAGTTCAACATTTATAAATACAATATATTAAATATTCTTATATTTTCTACAAGTAGTAGTTTGTGAGTAGGAATTTGATGACGACATTTATGTATTAATTAGAACGATTTTCCTTGATTATGGAAAACTGATTTTTTATTGCTTACATTTAATTTTAAAAAAAAATCAGAAAGTATTCTGCCCACACACGGATTGACGTTGAAGATGAAGAAGGAAACGTTTGAATCGAGTTACAAAAAAAAAATTGTATGTGAAATGGAAACAAGTGGAGTAGATATGTAGAGAGGCATGCAAATTCGAATTCGTAATGTTGCGCTCGCCGTGGATAATTGCGAAACGCCTGGCGTTTTTGCTATTTAAAATAGGGAACGGTGAGTGCAGCAACGGCGCGCGAGAATAGTGAAAGTAAATAATGCGAATGACATTTCAACCTGTTGTAACAGAAATGCACGTTTCAATTAGCCGCTGATGATGTCGAGAGAGGATGTATAAGAGTGGTTGAAAGAATCTTAAACTTATTTTCGTTTTTTTTTGTTTCTCTCGTTTACAGTACAGCCTCAGGCAGCTGGACCTATCGCTGCTATCCCAACTGTGGTCTCTGAACGAGTCCATCCAGGATTTCAGGGTGATTCTGCAGGAGCAGGACGAGAGGAGCATCCTTTCACCGCCGTCGCCCTCGCCCACGCCTTCCTCCGACGAAGGCGAAGCGGATGAGTTCTACGCTCCTTCGCCGATGCTCTTCAGGCCAGCGCCTCCTCCACCTCCAGATCGTAGAAGACCGAGCAACAGCTCTTCGGGCACCGGCTCTAGCGTCTAGAGTTATACAGTTCCCATTTACCTATTCCAAAATCTTTCTTTGTAGGTGACCTGGATGGCGATTAGTAGGCAAACCATCATTCCAATGTTATAAAGTAAAACGGACGATGTCGCGTTGTTTAGTGTGTGTGTGTTTGTGCGTGGGAGGAAGGATGTGTGATGTGAATTTTAAATTTAGATTAATATTATTAATGTCTCATAAAAAAAAGTGAGTGAATCTATTTTCAATCCTTTTCCTTTAGCAGAAAGTTCTCTTTATTTCTCTCGTTTTTTTATTGTTTTTTTTTTGTGATATATTTAAATATTATCTACGTTTATAACTACTGTTAATAGGGTACAAAATAGTATTTACTCGATCTTCTGTCTCTAATCACGCTATAATAATTTGTACTATATTAATGAACATATTACTTACCTGTGTCTGTTTTAGGAGGAAATTTAGTCAAATAACTTTCAACGTGAAAGTGATTATTGTCGACTGATTGATTAATGAAATATCTTATATGAAATGAAAAAAAAAAGAAATGCAACAGCAAACAAAATTTGTGAATTGTTATTTTGCGTCTTTTGTATAAATAATAAAATTAACTACTAAATATTTATTTGTTGTATATAAATAGAGAAATACAGTTTATTCTAACCTTATCGTTCTACACATTTTCTTAATCCCACACCCATATTTCCCATTACATTTCTGTATAAATAAACAAATATAACTAAACCTTTAAATAAACTTTTACATTATAACATTCTGCATATTAATCAAGTCGAGTATTTGTTTTATATGAAATAATGCAAGTTATCACAAGTTACTTGACAAATATCGCGTAAATTGGCATCTGTTAAGTAGCGATTTGTTTTAGTAAAGTATTATTAATGAAACTATTAAAAAAAAATTAAATAGAAAATATGAATTGATACTTAGTAATGTTTTGTTATTTTATATCTTAATATAAATCACACCAAAATATATATTTGTTAATTTAAATTACAATTGATTTCTTTATATGTTTATTTATATAAAGTCATTGATAATAGTAAGAATCTCCTAAAGTTGAATTCTATTTTAATAGTATTAATGAAATCGTATTGATTATATAAACTCTGTAGGTGTTAATTGATATAAATCACCTATGTAATGATGATTAAATTTTATAAGCTTTCGAACTTCAAATATGTTTGTATGTTATTTAGTTGCACCTAAGGAATGTACATAAATAAATCGTAATTCGATGTTTCTATTTAATTGCATTTCATGCATCGTGAAATTAATCGACGAAAGCTAACTGAAATAATGATTCGCGAAAGAAAGTTTGGATGTTTCACAGCCCAGTTGTTATCATTTGCAAATTCATGGAGACGTCCGGGAATGGAAAAAAAATATCTTTAACCTTTCCTCCTTTCTGATTTTTGAAGGAACAAAAAATAAGATGCACGAAGATAGTTTCATCGCTTCGAATGGTTCTTTTGTGCAGGCAAGCCGAAGTTATCTGTACGCGCATTGAAGCGTGCGTTAAATTAAATCAAAATCCATCAACGACATCTCCGTTTAAATGGTAAGATACAATTAATACTGATAATCGATTACGAGTATCTACAATTATTTATGATTTACGTTGAAAAGTAGTAGAAGAAAATATTAAAAATCTTATTTTTTTTTTCGAAATTTTTATTGCAAATCTTATAGATATTATAGATTTGTAGTTTTTGAATTTGTAGCGTGAGGTAATTTCGATTCATGTCGGACAAGCCGGTGTCCAAATTGGAAACGCATGCTGGGAGTTGTACTGCTTGGAGCATGGCCTGATGAAGGATGGCTATTTCAATGAAGAGTATCTGAAAAACAAAAAGGGTGAGGATGACAGCTTCAGCACATTCTTCTCGTCCACCGGCTCAGGAAAGCACGTGCCCAGATCCGTTTTCGTAGATCTGGAGCCGACGGTCGTAGGTACGAGCAACAAACGATGATTCAAATCTTTTATTTTTTCAATTATCGCTGATGCTGTTATGCAGATTCCGTAAGGTTGGGCGCTTACCGTGAACTATATCATCCGGAGCAACTGATAACGGGCAAAGAGGATGCCGCTAATAATTACGCTCGCGGTCATTACACCATTGGCAAAGAGCTCATTGATCAGGTGTGCGATAGGATCCGCAAATTGTCTGATCAGTGCCACGGGCTACAGGGATTCCTGATCTTCCACTCGTTCGGTGGAGGAACCGGCTCGGGATTCACATCGCTTTTGATGGAAAGTCTCTCTGTAGATTATGGTAAAAAGAGCAAACTGGAGTTCGCCGTCTATCCTGCCCCTCAGGTCTCCACAGCCGTCGTCGAGCCGTACAACTCTATTCTCACCACCCACACTACCCTCGAGCACTCCGATTGCGCTTTCATGGTAGATAACGAAGCCATCTACGATATCTGCAAGAAGAATCTAGATATACCCAGACCGGGTTACACCAATTTAAACAGGCTCATCGGACAAATCGTATCTTCAACAACAGCTTCTCTCAGGTAATGCAAAATCCTTCAACAACAACAAAAAAAAGGTTAAACCAAACGCAACATTTCCCGCAGATTCGATGGAGCAATGAACGTAGATCTGACCGAATTCCAAACCAATTTGGTGCCCTATCCACGAATTCACTTTCCTCTGGTAACTTATGCGCCAATCGTATCAGCAGCCAAAGCCTACCACGAGCAAATCTCCGTAGCCGAGATAACAAACGCATGCTTTGAACCAAACAACCAGGTGATTGATTATCAATTCAATACAAAAACCATTTGCTACAATTTTAATTACTTCAGATGGTTAAATGCGATCCACGTCGTGGCAAGTACATGGCGTGCTGCATGCTCTACAGAGGAGACGTCGTTCCTAAAGACGTTAATGCTGCAATTGCTACCATCAAAACCCGAAAAAACATTCAATTCGTGGACTGGTGTCCCACTGGTTTCAAAGTTGGAATCAACTACCAACCACCGACCGTGGTACCAGGAGGAGATTTGTCTAAAGTAAAAAAAATACCAACTCACAAATTGCAAATGCAAGAGTTGAAATTTGTAATTTATCTGCAGGTTCAAAGAGCCGTCTGCATGCTGTCCAATACCACGGCCATAGCCGACGCATGGGCGAGGCTCAACCACAAGTTCGATTTGATGTACTCGAAAAGGGCTTTCGTCCATTGGTACGTCGGTGAGGGCATGGAGGAGGGCGAATTTTCCGAGGCTCGCGAAGATTTGGCGGCGTTGGAGAAGGACTACGAGGAAGTCGGCACCGATTCCGGTGGCGACGAAGAGGGTTCATACATGGAAAACGAATACTAAATTTCGGGATGGGAGGTGTGTTTTAATTCTGTATTTGTTTTGTGCATACCATTTTTTTCATTTCCACTATTTTAGCATTGTTTCGTTATTATTATCATTATTATTTTAATTTTTCCCCACTTGCAGCCACACAATAAAAAATAATAAAGCGCTTGCAATTAAGAAAATTTAATCTAATGTGTTTTCATAACTCCTTTCTTCTCCTTTCATTCAATTAAATAAAATTTCCGTTTAACTATATTTTATAATAATAACATTTGTAACTACTTCAACTTTTCTCAACTTTTGATTACATAAACTTCGAATTTTAATTTCTATAATCATTTTATACTAATACATTTTTCTTTGATTGTATATGAAACAAATCTAAAAAGAACATATTTAATAATTGTCCTCTTATTTTTAGCACAAAAATAATGTATCTAATACATATAAAGCAAATGAGTTATGATAAATGTATGTATATCAACAAAAATAGTTATATTTGAAAATCTTTATAGTTTTATTGTATATAAAGTTGCATATATTGAAAATTATATATGCAACTTAATAATACCATATTTTCTAACCTTTACAAAATAATTGAAACATAACCTTATATTTATGTAAAATTAAATAATTTTCATCAATTTTTTTTTAGAAATAATGGCATTGCAGAGACAAGGACTTAACTTATTACGTAGAATATCAATTCATGGCACGACGTTCACAAACAGAACAGGTAAATAAACATGTCTGATAAATTATCCTTCATTTAAAAGAGAATATTTAGATGTAAGGAGTTACAAAAGATGGGTTGCTCCAACTCTAAAGGAGTTAAATATTAGGACAAAGAAGATTGGTGATACTGGAGAAGTTAAACCAACACCAAGATCCAGCTTCCTAGAATGGAATTATGATGCTGAAGTGTTTGCATTTGGCAAAAGGTTGGGTGAAGAGTTCAATCAGGATCTGCTCAGGAAAGCCTTGATGCACAAATCCTATGTTAATTTACAAGAATTGCAAGGAAATGGTATTTATTGTTATTATTACTTTTCCAGGGTTATTATCTATTTTTGTTTGTAGCTGTTCAATCAGATGGAAATACTGATTTAATAAAGAAAGGTGAAGACATTATTTCTAAATACATCCAATTAGAATTGTCAAAGAAATATCCAGATGTTATTGTCCAGGCGATACACAATTATCTAACAGATGACAACATGCTGAGCCATGTTGGAGTTCACATTGGTTTGAAAGACATCATTCTCACACCAGTAAGGGTTTACCTGTACCTCATTAAATGTAGATTACGAAATTTGAATTTCATTAGGAATACCCACCTGAAACTGCAACCATCGCTAACACGTTTAAAGCTGTTGTCGCTGCGTTAGAAGAATCGAGTAGCTTGGAGAATTGCGAGAAATTCGTTAAAGATTTCGTTTTGGCGCAACTGAATGGTAAAGAAGTCTTCGATATTTGGGAACCGGAACAACCCTACAAGTACCTGAAAGGCATCAAATCTGACATCGAGCCTAGGTTGTGCAACCAGTCAGCTGCCAAGACCATCCTCGCCAATTACCAAGTAGGCATTTACTCTAATAAACAATTGCTAGGATTAGGTTGGGGTGAGTCCGTCGACGTTGCCAAGGACATGGCGGCGCTAAACGTAATTCAGAAGATATACAATATCAAATAGTTATTTTTTTTTATTTAAATAAATAGATTAAAAATTATACAAAATAATATTATAGAGTTGCTTCTGCTTAAAGAACTATTTTAAAGCTATCACGCATCATTGCAATGCGAATCCATCAACAGATTACCATCTTTATCTTTCATCCTAATCCTACCGTTCGAGTACCTCGTTTCTTGCAATCCATCCGGGTACAAAATCTTTACAGTACCATCAGGATATTCTCTTCGCTGCAATTACAAAACTTGTAATGGATAATAGTTGTGAAAGATAATGTAATTTACCTTATGTTCTTTCGTGTGTATTTCCTTTTGCCCGTTTGGTAAAAGCAACACTTTTTCTTTATTCGCGTTCACAGTAACCACCGATCCATCTGGATACACGACATTTTCGGTGCCATCACTTTTTGTATGCTTTATTGAACCATCGGGAAAAGATATTTCCGAAGAGCCATCGCTGAAATGCTTTTCGATTTGTCCACTGTAAACAATGCATAGATTTAACCAATTTCATTGCTACGAACTTTAATCACTCACCTGGAATATTCAAAGATTTCGTTCCCATTAACCAAAGTCGTTTGCCATACACCATTCTCTGCATAGAAATACTTGATAGATCCATCCAACAAGTTCGTCTCCTTTATATCGTTATTGAAATATTTTAAACGAATGAGATTACCGTCAGCAGATGTTATCTTTACATTTCCATTGGGATACTTCGTTTCTTTAGAACCGTCTTCCAAAATAGTTTCAAGTTTTCCAGCTGGAAATAACGTTTAGTTCATTAACAGGAAAACCTAAACATGTCACATTGTATGCTTACCAACTTGGGTATCATTTAAGCTGCTATTCCTTGTTTTGCAACTATCGCTTCCGAAAACCCTATCGTATTTATTGACGATTTCCGTCAAATTTCCAAAACTGGTTATATCGAAATTTGTTGTATTCGAAACCTTTTCAAAGCTATTAGTTTCTTCTGTACCTTTATGATTTGATAAGCGTAGATTACATTCGATGTCGTTATTGCTTTTTGCCGTTCTACAGAATACTGCTTCTTCTTCGCTCTCCTCATCACTGGATTTCTTACGCTCCAATGACTTTCGATTTTCTTTCAAACTGTCGCTACTTCTGTTGAAGCTACTCTGGTACTCGCTTTCGTAGTTTCCACTTTTCCTCTTACTTCGACTCTTCCTGCTATCTGCTAAAATGATCAGACTATTATCCATATCTGCGTTCTTTTCTATGCTCTTCTCCATTTTGTGTATCGATTTGTTGACTTTAACATCCTGCGATAATTTTGTTAGGTTCTTATTGATTTCGTGTAACATCTTCGTCTCCGAAGGTTTTCGCGCAACTTTCTGGGCAGCTACCAATTTGGCATTCTGCTTCTGTAACTTCTCCACTTCATCCTTCAGATTCCCATTATCCTTTTCCAGAGATTTGATTTGCGTCCGAAGCCTGGCCTGCGTCGTTCCATTTCGAGTTTCCTTCAACTTCAAAGTCTCCTTTGTATTGGCCAATTCAATCTTTAGATTGGAAATCTCCTCGCGTTCCTTTCGATTCGGCTTGTTTTGTAAATCTTTAACATATCTACAATATAACAGATCATATAAGTAACAAGACAAATAATATAGAAAAACTGGAAACAGACTTTTCAAAAACCATCTTTTCCTTTGTCAATTTCTTCTTCTCCTCCTCAAACTCTATTTCTAATTTGATCCTCTCCTCTTGTAATTCTATCTCTAAAACCTTCTTTGCTTTCTGAAACTCCTTCTTCTCCGCTTCAAAATCGTTTCTTTGCATAATTAATTTTTTATTTTCAGTTCTAAAAGTTGCAATTTCCAGCTCTAATTCTGCCACTTTTGCTTTTATTAATGCTTCATCTTGCAGTTTTCTGTCCTGCGGATCTGGAAAATCTGTCATGACACAAGCGTTCTGCTTCGTAATAATTCGTTGAGATCCGGATGAAGAGGGAAGTGAACAACAGCTTGTTGTATCAGATGTGTATTCCTCTTCTTTATTTTCTAAAACACATAAGACACATTTATTGATTAAATATTATTTAAATTTTTATGAAATTATACCATAAGCGTCGCATCTAGTGTCATCGGCTTGCATTGTTCTATTTTCCAAATCTTCTGATGTTATGGAACTGTTTTCAGATAAAACGGTTTCTTGAAAATCCAAGGATTTCTTAACGTTGCATTGTCTCACGGGTTCGGTAATACTAAAGTGCACAGTCTTTTTCTCTAAATAAGGTTCAATTTTATTTGGTGTGCTTGACAGTAACTGCAATACACTGGAATTTGTTGAACAGAAACTGCTGTTCTGTACTTTCTGCTCGAGTTCCTCAAAAATGTGCAATTCCTTTTCAAGTTTCTTCTCATATGCTGACACACCTGACCCATTTAGAATATCATCATTGTTTACAACTAAACCTTCTAAATATTTTAGCAAGTCTTCATTGACAACATTGGGTTCTCCACATTGACCAAACCTTTCAGCTGCAAGCTTCTTAATAGTAATCAACATGCTTTTATCTGGAGTATCCAGAATTTCACTCTCTTCTTCTTGTAATTGGGAAGGTTCTTCATGCACAATTACAGGCAATGGATTTTCTCTTGAGTACTCCTCCACAGTAGACCATTTAGCTTTGGGGAGTATTTTAAATTCTGGTACTTTCAGAGGTGTTATTACTTGTTCCACATGTTCCTCATTCCTACTTTTTTCCATTTTCCTTTGCATTTCCAGTCTTTTGTGAAAAATAGTTTTTCCTGGTTTCATTTTATTGAACGGCTTCTGCTGATCCCCTGGTTTCATACCAAATTTACTCAAACCAGAACCTCTCTTGAGGTAGGGTCTCTTGGGCTTTGCATGTATACTAACATTGACCACCTCTTTGGATTCATTTTTATCAAAGGAATCAAAAGCAGAGAGACCTTTGATTGTATCATTTTCAGAATAAGAAGAACCTTGCCTACTCACTTCATCGAGTCTATGATGGTGTTGCTTCAGAAGCCTCTCCTGCTGGGTCTGTTGCCATCTCTTGAGTTCATCTAATTTTGCTAAAAGTGTCGTGGGAGTCATCGACATCTTATATTTCCTTTTTATTGCAACATAAAAACAAAATTCAAATTTTTGTGACAAACAACAGTTAACACCAGGGGGACCACTTAGAGACAATATTTAAAACATAACTGAAATTAGCTGTTGTTGGTACCATTGAAGATATATGAAATTTCTTTGAAAATAACCTACAACGTCCAAATATTTACAAATATCTTCTATTTGTAGAATAAGTTCCTGTTATTTCAATAAGTTGCTTATTTCGATTTGAGTTTGCAATTATTTTACATATATAAACATAGCTAATATCACTCAAGAGTGAAGGAGCTATACACAAGTTTTGTACAAGAGAAGGAAAGAATTATTTATTTTCCTTGGGTGACATATCAAAATCAATTGTTTTCGCTCAGCTGTCGGAGCTCAGTGACGGGATATTTCTTGTGATACGAAAATTTAAAAATGATGGGCTCTTTGAAAATCGAAGATGTGTTTATACAAGTTCGTGATAAATTGCAACGGGATGGTATTAAATTGTGGTTGTCGCCGTATTTCAACGATCCGATTGGGCCTTCCCAAGAGGATATAGAGGTTTGTTTTGAATTATTGGAATTATCAACAAGTTTATTATTTATTCTTTATAGAGTTTAGCAAAAGATTACTGCAAGTCTCTGAACATGGATTTTGATGCATGCCATGCAGCTATATCAGAGTTACAAACCAATGCCATCGAGAAGCTGAAGCAGAGGGACAGATTTAAGGAGAGCGGAGTTGCAACTATCAAGATCAAAATTTTGAACCAGAATCCGCCCAAGTTAATCAGCAAGGAGATATTGTTGTCGACTGTGGGAATGAACTTTAAAGTATTAATATCAGATGAAGTCAACATCCCCATTGATAGGTTTGTCCTTTATTGTTTATTTTTAGGAAAATTTATTTATAAATATTTTTAGACTTAAGCTGATTGCCAATGGGATTGTTATTAAGGAAACTGAAATGCTATCACAGCAGGGTATAAAGAATGGTTCCCTGGTCTTGGCTATTGTCCTGAAGGAAAGTTTAACTGAGATCCATGAAAATGAAGCCAGGGTTAAAGACATTGAGAAAACCAAAGAAGATACTTCTTTGTTGGCCTCTGACGTTTCATACATGCAGGTTAATTGATTAATAAAACAATTATTTGTTATTTACTTAAACGTATATTAATTTGCAGCTTGAAGATCAGCATGGTAATGCCATCCAAATTCCGGATTCAGAGAAAAAGGCTTTGATGATTGCTATGGCGCTTCACGAGAAAGGTCGTAGTGCGCTGAAAAAAGAGGATTACGCTCGCGCTTTAGTGTTTCTTCTGGACGCTGACAAGGAGTTTAGGTAATTTCGATCAGATTATTAAAAAAAGTTCAATTAATGTTGTCAATTATTACATGCACGTCTAAGGTAATTCTTGAAGGTATTGTAACAGCTTGCTTAAATTTAGAACACTTTGTTTCTTGATAATACAACGTTGATTATGAGTGTATATTATAGTCGTTGCAACTCGGCGTTGTTGAATTCCGTGGACAACTACGCCCTCCTAGACTTGGACATAGCCTGGTGCTTTCTTTGTCTGCAAAGTTTCGTGCATTTGCCGGAAGCATACAGCAGGTTGAAACGATGCGAGGATATGTTTCACAGAAGCTACGGACCTAATCTGGAGAGATTAATAGCTGTGAAAGGATCAACGGGTATAGAGAATATATTTGTAAAATTTCGCGATTTATTGATTTTTGGGCGTTTCAGGAAACGAGGCAGCGCTTTTCACGCGTTTGCATTTACTGCAGGCCATCGTTTTGTATCATCAGAATGACAGGGAAGCAGCCTTGAAGATGTTCGAGAAATGCAGAGAAGAGTTATCCGAACTCAAAGTGGATGAAAATAAAATGCTAGCTCTAGTGGAATTAGGTAAGATTGAATTGTTTTAAGAATGAAAAGTTTTATATAGTTATATGTTTTGTCAGGATACACAGTGCCCGAAGCAAGGTTGGGCTTGAGATCGACACACGGCGATGTTAATTTGGCTGCAAATTATATCAATGACAACAGGAACAAGCGTATTGACAGTAGGAAGAAAGCTTTGACGGAGAAATTATTGAAAAAGTAATACATATAGTAATGTTTTGCTAATCCTTAAATTTATTTTGTTCGATTATTTTAGGGAGAGAAAGCAATTGGGAAAATGCGTTGATGGAAAGCAGTATGTGAATCCTTTATTTGTCCGAATGCTGATTAACATGGGATACAGCAAGCAAGCGGCGAAGGTGGCTCTTCAGAAAACCAACAACATCATTTCGGATAGTATACAGTACATCCAAGAACACCCACAGGCTGGGCCGAGCAACACGAGAAGCGAGGAATTCTTTTTGTGGCTCGAAGAATTAGCTCCAGAGGTAATTATACTCATTATAATGTTATTTTTTTTTATATAAGCAAAATAAATATATTCTTCAGCTAACCTCCGCTGGTTTCGAACTGACTATGGCGATAAAGGCTCTGCAAAAGCACAACGGTGATTTGATATCGGCCGCTGAGGAGCTGCTAAACAACAACGGAATTGTCGACGAAACAGATCTGGATTTGCCAGATATTCCTTCTAGCATCAAGAAGCCGAGGACCGAAGATGAAGACGAGCGTCTCAAGAAGGAAGCGGCTTGGAACCGCCTCAGTCAGGACATATCTATGGTCGACGATGACCATTTAGATTTAACGCTAGAGAGGGAAGAGGATTTCCTCAATCAGTATCTATCTTTATTGTCCAAGTAATTTTATATATTAATATACAATTCACAAAGGTAACTCATCCTAGGTGGATATAAACCACTCATATATTTTGTTGAAAGTAATTTAAAAAAAATATATACGTATTATAACTACTACCTTATAATGTAAGTTGAATTTGTGTTTCAATTTTTATATTATGTTACAATAATAAATGTTGTTTTGTTCGTTTAGAAACGATAATTCGATTTTATCAATAACATTTTAAATTAATTTATTGTGCTTGCAAATTCTGCAAGTAATTATAAATATGTATGAGCATATACAGTCACAAATAAGAATGAGCACATCTGTGTGATTCTTTTTATTAATAATAACGATCATAACCTTATGAATTATGTAAATCATGGTGTTAACTGAAGATTATTGAATATTTGAATTTGTAAATGTTTTCAAAGTTTAGGTTGGTCAACTTGCACCGGTTTATATTTTGTTGGTAGAAGTGAATCTTGACGTCTTGTTTTATAAATTAAATTGGCAAGTGAGAAGGTGTTTGATATATTCGAGTGAATCGCGAATTCAGTGAGCGCTCGAGACGCGTATGATGTGAACGTGTTTCTTTCCTCTGTGCTTTGTTTATTGTAAATTTGGTTTCGAACGATGATGACTGAGACGGAGAGCAGCGTCGATGTGCCGGAAGAGAACGTGAACTATGCAGCTTTCAGAGATCTTTGCAGCAACAATGCAGAGTACTTTTGTAAAGACACCACCGAGAACGGGCAGAGGTTGTATCTGTCTTTCATGTCCATGAAAGACGACATCGATTTGGTGCTTCCACTAAGAGATAGCATCGAATCGGTGGTGCATCAGTACGACTACGATGAAGCCACCCCGGGGAACGGCTACAGGAGTTTCCTGAAAATCCTCGACTCGGCTATTGTCCACGGTATACAAGTCAACAAGAAAGTTTGCCTGAAAAGGGACAGTGTACTCTTTAGAAAGTCTTCTATAACAAAGTAGGTAGCAACTTTTTTCGTAGGTAACAACAGTTAGATTTTCTCTTTTTCTAGCTCCACTGCTTCTGTTGTATCACCTCACCATCATTTTACATTTAACAATTGTTCATTTGCTTCAAACACATTGCAGAGCAGATGTTAAGTGATTCAAAACTAAGAACTTTATGCAGTTATCTGTTGTTCTACAAATACAGTACATTCTAAATTTAGGAAAGCTGATATGAATATGTATATCATTGTTTGTTAAGATGATTACAAATGATATTACAGACCTCAAAGCGCAGATGTAAACAAATTAAAAATATTTGGAATGGATTTTTGGAAATACCAATTTAAAACAAGTATGAATCTATTTTTTATTATTTCATATTAATATTAAGTTAATACATTCAAATATGTTGCAATTTTATTAATACTTGGAAACAGCAAAATCTTTTCAACTAAATAATATAAATTATTAAATAATTTATTTCAAAGTAAGGAATTAATTAAAATTTATGAATTTGTATAGAAATTATTTCTTAAATTCTTTTCTATCCATTAAAAAAATATAAGCATATTATCACGTACAACTGTAGCATAAAATTCTTCCCTTTTCAATCTGCAATTCCGAATCTAAAATGGTCATAATAAGTTTATTATTGATTTAAAAAATACTTCCTAAAGTAGAGCGGAAATGGCATGTGCATTGTTTGCAGTGAACTATACATACATAATATCGTATTATTTATAGTACGTATAATTTAAAATACGTTCTTCTCTGTTATACTATTAAAATTAAAGATCGAGAACAACTTAAAAAAGGTTGACGACCTTTTCTACGGTGGAATGGGGCCAAACATTCTTAGTAGATCATGGATAAGTAGTCTGTGATCTAACATAAGGAAATAATCTTATTTTTAAAATTTAGTCAAACAGCAATTGTACAAAAACAACTCGTCAAAAATTAGCGTTTTTTTCACGGATCGTAATTATTTTGTCGTAATATAAACATATAATTATAACATATTTTAATTACTATTATTTTATAGCTGTTTACATATTTCTATTGATTATGACAGTGTTTCTAATGGAAAATTTATTTGCACATATTACATTTGTACATTTAGAATTACTATTGTTTCGATGTATGCACGTTTAATTACTGATCCGTTCTGCTAAATAATTATAGGATTAGTAGTTTAAGCTGCATAATAGGCTAACGTTGCTCCTATCAGCAAATTGCAACATTTACTCCGCAGTGCAGTAAGAATCCATATATCTGTTGTTTCATTTCAAACATAAAATAGTTTATTTAGTCAAGATATGAGCTTATTTTTTTAACGAAATAAATACATTTCTGGTAGTGCTAAGTGCAAGAAACTGTGCAGCTGCGAATTTCTAAAGCCATATGCAAGCCTTATTGATTAATGTTAGTGGAAAGATAAAAGAAGCCTGCAATAACTGATCAAACAATTATACATTAGCAACAAATAAAAAAAATCACATTTATCTCGGAATTAATAAAAACGTTAACTTATTATTTATAAACAGTTATTTTGTTTTTCCTAAATTGTACATAAGTAACTTTGTTTACTTATTTTTTTATCAATGTCAATATGACGTAATCGAAGTTATTTTGCGTGATATAGGAGGAATTTCAATATTTTTTTGTATAATGCAACAATAAAAGTCAAAAGGTTATCCGGGATGATGAAAATGGGTCAAGATTTCAATATATCAGTTAGAGCTTAATTATGTTTTTCAATAATAATTAGCTTATAACAATTATAAAAATCTTTAAAAATATGTTCAAATTCAAACTGTGTAAATATTCAATTGATACAAATAACACTTGGTAGGAAGCTAGTAGATTTTGCATTGCATGTTATTTCGATTTTTTTATGTAACACTAGAGCTAATCTGATCTGGATTATGTCCAAAGATATATAAATGTTAGAAGGAAGTATATTATAACGATATAGTAATCCTATAAATGTTTTATTTATTATCTTATAAAATACTTTTAATTTGTGTAAAAACTTTTTTATAACTTTTGATTCTATTATACTTTTACTGTTAAACGTTTCTAGAATTGTTTTTGATATACTATTATTGTGTCTTCTAATGCTGTTTTCCTTATAATATGTTTGCTTATATATATTTGTTTTGATTATCTCATGAATTTCTTCTCCAATATATTAGTATCGTTTTCAATTTAAAGATTATTTTGGGCTTTTTCTGCAGATTAGTGCGTTTCGTCATTTGTTATTTCATGTGAGAAAATAACTTCTTTTAATGATATCATTTGTGTAAATGTGCATTAAGTAATTATTTACACTAGAAATTCAAATTTATATATAAGATGGTAATCTTACATCTTTCGACACGTAATATGAAATCATATAAAGTGGAACCTCGCTTAATAAGTTTAATTCGTTCCAAAATTTTCGGATTTTTACTCGTATAGTGAAACATATTCAAAAATACACATAATATGTATCCGGTACTTCTCATCGTCACTCGTTATGCGAAACGTCGCTCGTTAAGCGAGTAATTTTTCTTACAGTTAATTTTTCTCGTTATGCGAGGTTCCACGTTTCCACAGTTATTAATTGTTTAAAAGTAACGTTTTGCAAAAATTATGTTATGTTATCTGCGAAAATGTATTTGTTTTAACACGGGTATTGTGCGTGGTATGGCAAGTTTTCAAAAGCTCGTTATTTCCACAATTCCATTCGCATTGCTAAACAAACAAGAAATGTTACATCTGCTTCATCCGGGTGATTTCTAATGACCGCACGTACATCCTGCAACAATTGCCGTGTAACGAGCGTTTTTTTTTTGTTATACTGCGACATTAAAATAACAAAACCACTATTTAATCATTCCACTATTTTTTTTGTTGTTTTTATGTAATAACTGATGCATTGCTGCTTTTTTATTGCATAATTAGTTTAGTTGAATTTGTTTCATACGTCTGTATGAATTATTATTTTAAATCATTAAGTTAATTCAATGACTAGTATTAGTTTTATGATAAATATAAACTTTGAACGATTTTTTTTTATGGTCTAAAAGAGCTCTACACTATAAAAATAACTGAAAAAGCAAGTAACTATGGAATGATATATTTTTAAATTGATTTTGATCTATATCATGAAAATCAGCGTTTTTTAACCTATGGATTGCGTCAAATTTTTGATAGGTCACGATATAACAGCGCTGTCACATTTGACGTACTTTCCCATTTAAATGTATATTATAAACAATTAGAAATTGCAAATGTTGGACAACACGGCAAAAATAGTTGAGTAACGTTGATGTAAATGAGATACTCAATTATCTCAAGATATAAATAGTACAGGAAGACTCTAAGAAAGGCTAAGAAAGTACCACATTTCTAAATCTCTAAATATACTTGACTAAACACTGAAACGTTCGAAATTATGTAGTTTTAAGATTGACTATAATTTATATGCAAATTTAAGACCTGTTTATAATTACTAATTATGAGACAATTTATAAAATATTATTGATCGCAAGGCAAGAAATAACGAATTTCAGGTTCAATTTTGCAAATTAATTAGCGATACGGTAAAACGTTGTTATCTTTATTGGTCGCATGCAAATTATTTAACACATCATAAATACATATTTGCTTCCATTATCTTAAAATTAGCAAAATGGAACAATTATTAAATACTACATTTCTTTATGTATTGTGATTAGTGTTTACATACAATTTTAATGAATGATCTTTTGTAATTTATTAAAACTAAATTACTTTCTATATAGATTATATTTGGAAATCATTTGTGGAATCATTGAATTCTTAACGAACAAGATTGAGTAGATTTGTAGCTAATGTATGGAATTTAAGCCTATTTCAGTACTGTTTCTTTTAAAAGCTTTGTCTTAATACATCACTTTACTCTTTTTCTCAATCCAATATGATCCTATTTTCTTGTATTTAAAAACTTCTATTACAGAATAACATCTATAATTTATATTTTAAGTACCTACAAAACTATTAATATTGTTATTTTTATATATAATACATTTATTTTGATTATTTTTTGTAAAACAACTATCATCGCTTCTTCAAGTAATTCCACTTGATTCACGGTCATATTTATATGAATTTGTACTAGCAATTCATTGCAGTCATCAATAGGAAGCTTGTATTTATTATTCTGTTGGCATATGCATGTCAAGTTCATGCGTGAATAATTAAAATGAAATAATTGCCTAGTTCTATTTTTAATTATTATTTACATATGAACAGCTATGTATAATAAATACCATACAATTTTCCTAAATACAGTCTTCTCATTTTTTTTCTAAGTATTTAATTTCTCGTTTTGTCTGATTTCAAACAGTCTGGGATATTGGCGGGTTTAACCGTTTTAAAAATTAAACCGGTTTTCTAATCTCATTTTTTTACAAATCGGTTTTAACCGGTTTTCGAATCTTCACACTAAAAAAATAGAGAGAAAGGATTTACAACTTATTTTCTTTTTATTTAATATATGCAAAATTAAAAATTATATCAAAATAAACAAGTTCTTATTTTGCATACAGAATATCTATAAATGGAAAAAAAAATCTTTAATCGTCTTAATGAAATAATTAAATTAATTAATGTGTTATTATATTTTAAGTCTAGACTTAAAAACCGGTTTTAGAATTATATAAAATTTCCTAAGATAAATGGGTTTTAAAAAATCGGGTTTTAAGAATCGACAAATCTTATTACTTTATTTATAAAACTATTGAATATTATAATCAATATATGTGTATGAAGAAATTTAAGGAGATCTAATTGAGATTTTTTCAATTTAATTGTTTCAGAGAAGTGGAAGCCTGTGCTCAATTGATGTCCAGCGTCCACACCTGTCTGAAGCATCTGCAGGTGCTCAGGAAGCATAGTGCGAAGAATGAATTGTTCGCAATGGAACACTCGACGCCGCAAGATCTCATCCGTTTGACCGACGATATTAATCAATATTGTTTTTACGGACGACCGCTCGGTTTTCAGGTAAAATTTTAATTGCTCTCTCATTACACTAGATGGATTAGCTCATGGTAATTTGCATCATCGCAGTTAACAACTTGTTTTAAAGTTTTCAAGTGGGTTCAGATTTTTTTACGTAGTTTAAATTTTTTTTGTTGGATTTGCTGTTAACCTACGGGTCATTAATCTTTCAAGCGCAATGTTTTCATTATAGCAGATGTGCTTAAACTTCGGTTTCAAAACTATATTTTTCTCTTTTTTATGTAGTACAGTGATGGCGAATCTTCCAAATATATTTCATTTCATATGTTATGAGCAATTATAATTCTGTTATTTCGACAAATATTTTCAATAGTCTGTTGTAAATATTTTTCAATAATTTGCAATAATATGAGATGATTTACATAAATTATGCTTATTTGGATAATTATAAGTACTTTGATGTGTTACATTCATTATGTCACCTTCAGATTGATGCGATATTTAAATTTAAAAGAATAATACAAATATTTACAATAGTCTTTGGTAAATATTTTTCTTTAATTTAAAATAATATGAGATGATTTACATAAATTATGATTATTTGTATAAGAAGTTTGATGTGTTACACTGCGATATTTCATTTTAAAAGATATTTACGATGTAATATCTGGCGTGGTATGCCAGGACACATTTCAGATTTTGAAATAATGTATGTTTTCTTGTATAGTTTACAGAATCGATACGTGGACCTCTGAGGTTTATATCCTTGTCCATGGCGATATTTTCGGAAGCATACTATAGCGATGGTAGGTGTTGTAAAATAGGTCTTTTATATCGATTGTGTAATCAAAACGCATGAATCCGCAGGTTCGATGCTCTCAAAGGCGACCAACTCCGTCATGACCACCACCAAGTACGTGTCCGATCCGGAGCAAAGGGCGAAAAGGGTGGTGAACATTGGTAACAACGCCGACGTCGATTTCTGCAAAGCTTTTTGGTTTCTGTCCGAGAGTGAGCTTATGCAATATCTACCATCCATCGTCGCCCCGAGCGCTGCCATCTGTAAGACGATCAATATCCCGACGGAACCGATCACGTTGAACGTGAACGGCAAAGAGATTGATATTCCGATACCTATGTCGCACATCGGTAGCAAATCGGTGCACGTGAGATTGATCAGTTACGAGGCTCGCGAAGGTATGGTCGGCGAAGGGAAAAACACGAAGATGGAGCCGCCGAGCAGAGGTCTTCTGATCCATTGCCACGGCGGAGGTTTCGTGTCGCAGTCCTCGAAATCGCACGAAGTGTACTTGAGGCAATGGGCCAAAGAGCTTAGGATTCCGATTCTGAGCATTGACTACAGTCTGGCACCGTCAGCGCCGTATCCGAGAGCCCTCGAGGAAATTATGTACGCGTACGCTTGGGCTTTAAAGAATTGTCAATTGTTGGGAAGTACTGGTAATTATACTCGAAATTTATCATGAATACCATTTAATTTATTTGCATATATTTTTGTATAGGTGAGAGGATCATCGGTGCTGGAGACTCTGCCGGAGCCAATTTGTTAACAGCAATGTCTCTCAAGTGTATAGAAATCGGAGTTCCGACTCCCCATGGTCTGTTCTTGGCTTACATGCCAACATACATAGGATTTATACCATCACCCGCGCGGTTGTTATGTAAATTGGATCCTCTACTGCCTTTCGGTTTTTTAACACGCTGCCTCAAAGGTAAGTTCTTATTAAAAGTATTAACTCGATAGTTACATTCAGTGCTAATTTCATTATTTAGACTTTTGATCAACGCTTGATTGGATTTTGACAAATATTTTCTTTATTATTTTCAGCTTATGTATTTGGATCCAGGTTAAATGAAAAGCAAAACGGCAGTGCGAATGGCGCCATCTCGCCGGATACCACGGAGAGCTTCGAGGAGATCTCCGAGTCCGATCTGCTGGAGCTGCAGGCGCACAAGTCGCCCACCTCGGAGATGTCGGACACATTGACTTACGGTTCTCTCACCTCTCAAACGGACGACACGCGCGACCTCAGCACCATCAAGGAGCCCGACTTCACTGGTTCCGATACCAGCCAGAAGTTCGATCTTCTAGATAAATTCGTATTGGGTAAGTTATCAAATGCGTGAATTCGCATTCATGAACGATAATAACTGATGTAAAATTAGACTCGGATACAGACACGGATGGCACGAAGATAGCCGTCCTCAAGCAGGAATCCGTACCAGCAACCGCAGCACCTGCCGCCTCCTCTCAGTTCGAGTTCTCGCTTCAAGGGAAGGTCACGAGTTTCGTCTCGAAGTTGCGGGGTCGCATGTCAAACCTCGTTCAGATGAAATCCTCCAGCAGCGCTTCCATGTACTTAGACGTTCCTCAGAATCCCATCGAACCCGAAGTCTACGCCATGAAACCGACCGATCCCTACATTAGTCCTTATTGCGCTTCAGATGAGCTCCTGAAGCAGTTGCCTCCTATGAAAATATTCGTATGTATAATTATTTTTTTATTCTATATAATTAAATAATTCAATTAATATAAAACTTTAAATTTTAAAACTCTGCACACCAAAAAATATTATTTACTGAGCTAGCAGTATATAATGGTAGCAGAAAATAATGGTAGTTAATAAAATAAGATGTGATTCGTTCATTACTGTATTTCCTAGAAACGCAATTATAATGTGTGCAAATGTGAATCATGCCTTAACCTTTACGAGAAAAAAATAGCCTCGGGTCATGCAGTGCATCCAAAGTCTAGATATTCAATCATTTATGTCTAGTCTTTAAGTCTAATATTGTATCATTAACAGATGGTGTTTATGATACGTTCACTAATTACGATCGATGATTTGTTCGCTTCTTATTTTGATAAATTCAACTAATTAAAATTTCATAATTAACGCGATTCCGAGAATTGTGGATATAATTGAATTGTTGATGTGGATTCAATTAGATAGCTCGGAAAATTTTGTAATTACCAATTTGACGCCTTCAATGTTGATTCTTATTGACAATAATGAACGGCCTTTGCATTATTGATGAGTTGTATCTTTATAGAGAAATAGATGCGAAGTTGAATGATATAAGTTCAATTTATTTTTACTTTAGTTTTTGGCTTTATCATTTTATTGTACCTAATATAATAATTAGTCGGTGTACGCCGAGATTACCCAATAATTCCAATATTTATTCATGGATATAAAATTTTAATTTATACTTTTACCCCATGTGGGGTAAATTGAACTTTCTATTATTAAAACTGAGAACAAAGAAAAATATTACCGATGTTCAATAGTTCATTTACTATGATTTATTCATATTTTGTTACTTTATCATATGTTTGTTGTAGCTAAAAATGTATATAGATTTTGTATGAAACTAATCTCTGTATTGATTATTTACAGACTGTACATTTAGACCCATGCTTGGACGATTGCGTAAGTTTCGCGAAGCGAGTGAAAAATTTGGGTAACGACGTTAATTTGACCATTCTGGATGGACTTCCGCACGGATTTCTGAACTTTTCATTGGTAAATCCTTTTCCAATTCCACTTGAAATGTTTAATACATTGTTTGTTTTTCCTATTCAGGTTTGCAAAGAAGCGTACGACGCGGCCAAACAATGCGCCCACCAAATCTCCGACCTCTTCGACTTGGATAGTCTATCACCTCAGACATAAACGTTCCCACTGAATGCAGCAAAGTTTGCTCATTTTCTCGTATTTACCTACCTTTAATGCGGCTTTTGTTGGAAACCGCGATCACTTACTTGTGTACAAAAAGGGCGTTCGTTTCTTATTTCAATTAAATAATATCGATCGTGAAAGTAAAGAAAAAGAGAGATTGATGAATGGATGTATCACACATATATTTTTATACAATTCAAGCGAAAAAAAAACAATGATTGTAGTCAATTATTAATTTCAATTTCTAGAAATCATATATATCTATATCAGTTGTTTTTATTTAAATTAATTTTATTTAATTTATTTGTACATTTATTAAGAAATTTTAGTGCCTATACAAACTGGAAACAACAGACGCGTTATTAATTAATTTTGTTTTGTTTTATAGGAGAAATTATAATTTATATATTTAAAAAAAAAGCAGTAATGTTCGACAATAATAGTAACATCAATAATCTGTCCAAGATAAACGATTCCGTTTAACTGTATCAAGAAGAGCATCACGATTTTTCTAGTCCAACTTAATACCAAAACATAATGAGATATATTTGTTATCTATACTGTTTGTTGATTATTTGAATCTCACTTTATGGTTAAGCTTATTTTTGTTACAACTGTTCGTCTTCTGATGGCCTTTCGTTTCGTTTAAAATCTACACTCACCCAACAACAAAAAAAAATCATAAAAGTACGCTTTTTTCTGTATTTCATTCAATGATGCATGTTAAATAATAATACTTTTTAACGACAGACTTAAAAATAATAGACTATATTTAATAATATTATATCAATATCTGTATATACTTGTTCATAGAATAAATTATGACAGTATTAGAGAAGGCCATTAGACTAATATTTCCGATGCTAAGATTTTGTTTTTTTTCTTAAGGATAATCGTTTTGTTTTCCTTTCCTCCAAATAAATTTACACGGACACGTGTCTATAGACTAGACATCTTGAATCTATATATAAATATATATACGTATATTATGATAACCTATTTACTACATATTTTTTAAATTGTGCGGAGAACTGTGTTAATAATGATCTTGATAGAATACGATTTTTGGGAACACGGAAATCGTGCAAATTTATTTAATTAATTTGTTGAATCAAAGATATATTTTTTTTTAGAGATTGATCTATTAAATTTAGTTTAATTTTCATTTTTTGTATTTATATTTATTTTAAATAAAAATTGAAAGAACTCTAAAAGTGTGCTTTGTTTCTTAAATCATTTTATAGTATATAAAAGCAACGTTGCTATAATTTATATTCTTGCATAGATTAATAGAAAATTTAAGTTTTATGCTTTGGTTTCATTACTTGAATTAGAAAATTTAGTCATGAATTTAATTGAAACGTTATATCATATTGTTTTAACCAATTAAAATGTGGAATAACTCGTGATAGTCGAATCCGATTGGTTAAAACAAATTCTCTAATGGAAAATCTGAAAAATTAATTAATTTTGAAAGAAATGAAGAAAGAACTGCTTAATTTATGTTTTTTATTTGAATCATACAGAGTACAAATATAATTTGAAATGAAGAAAGAATTGTACTAAAAGTGACAAACATTTATTTAGGTAATTATATACAATGACCGAAACATAAAATAATAAATTCACATGTTACAGCACACAGTTGATAATGAGATGTATTAAGAAGAGAGAGAGAGAGAAAGGAAAAAAAAACGAAGATAATTTGAAAAGTCGGCCCTCTCTCGCCGAAACAAAATTAAAAAAATAAAAGGAACGTTATAATAATAAATGATGGTGAAATTTTGGTATCTGTCTCCAATGGACGAGAGGAGTCCGCTCCGAAATCTGTAAGAAATTATTCGTGCATCCCATTGGTTTGAGGTTTCCTTAAGCTCTTTTGCAGAACATGAGCATCAGCAGGTTCAATCCGTTTGTAGTAATGCTGCTTAGTTTCCACAACCTCGAAACCAAACTTCTTGTAAAAGTCAATTGCACCTTCATTACTCACTTGAACATGCCTGTATCAACAACAACAAAAAAAAAGAGAGTTAATTATTTATAGCAGAAAAACGCCAAGCAGGAAACTTACAAAAATATACTGTCAAAGTTTCCATCTTGTTCCACAAAGTTCAGGACATGCTCAACCATCAGTGTGCCGATGCCAAGTCTGCGGTAGGGGTACAAACAGCCTAAGGTCATAATGTACAATCTTCGACTCTTCTCTGAAGTGTCGATCCTGCAACACACAGCCCCAACAACTATGTCATTGTAGTATGCTAGCTTGGCCAGTTCCCCTGCCTCCAGAACATCTTTGTAAAATTTATCATTATATGATACCGGGAAAACCACACTGTTTAACCTCTTCAGTTGCTTAATGTTGTGTGGTGTAACATTCCCTAATTCAATGTTTGCCCTGTGGAAGAGAAAATTGGATAAATTGTGGTAAAACGTTCAATGCGATGTATTCGCGCCGCACGTTTCTCACGTAGATCGACGCACGAAACTTACTTAGTCATGTTTTATATAAATCTAAATTAAAATTAAATTTCTTGTAACAGTAACCATAAAATACTACTAAATATACAAAACGCATGGAACTGCAATAGGAAACTGTCAAACGCTGTCAGAAAGCCATTTAAATGTCAACCTTGTGACATGAAGTTGGCGCTAAATATTTAAATAAAAATTCTAAATTAACAAACAGTATTTTCAAATTCTAGTTGCAAAATGCTCTGATCTATATAAAAAGCAACATTAATTGAGGTAGTAAAGTTATAATTAATGTTACGATATTATTGTTGCTAGTAACTACAATACAACCAACAGGGTTTTTATTTATTCCATATCAGAAGACTGCATACACCTTTAAAGCCAATGTACCTTTATACACAAAGTTTTGTAAGTTGTCCAGAATCGAGTTGTTCTTATCATGTATTTTCAATATTTTAAGGTATATGAGAAAATGTTGGAAACCTCTTATATAAAGGCATCTAATTACGAAAGGATCTTTTGTCTTTAGGCATTATCATAAATAAAGTTGTAGAAATAGTTCAGGATGAAAATGTTAAATGGTTTGTATTATTCGGGTATGTTTTTGTAAACATACTAAAGCTTATTTTGAATACGCTATGCTATTACCAATTTTTTTTTTTTTTTTTTTTTTTAAAGAGATTTATATCAATTTATTTATTGATATAAATCTCTCCGGCCCTATTTCTACCCCTTTCGGGTTTAACAGCCACCACAAATTTTTGTTGATTTTCGGAATTGAACCAACGACCTTTCGTATCAGATTTTTGTGATACAGGCGACCATATATTACCAATTTGATACCAATAACTTAATTGAGGATTAGAACATGTTGGGAAGCTCTGATATGTGTATATGATTGAAAATATGTTGTATACATTTTACAAATGCTGTTCTTTATATGCGTTTAACAAATGTAGAGATGATTCGTGTGTGGATAACAAAGTAACGATTCTTATTGTCTTGAATTTCAAAGGGATGACAATGCGATGAGCGTTGAATCCGTTGAATGTATCTGTCTGGGGAGCCCTGTATGGCCCTGTATAAAATCCTTGGTGAATCCATATTGATGACGTTTTTGAAAGATATCAGCTGACGCTTGCGCCCTGTTCAAATAGGAATCTAGTAGTAGTGGAATAAATACAAGCAGCGGGCGAGTGGAATCATCTGTGGGTCCGGTCAGAAATCTTTACATTGCGATTCATTCATCCTTCCTTCCGTCACGTCTTCCACAACAAAGCATGTGAAAAATCAATTCGGAAGTGTAATTCATCACCAGTAGTTTAGTGAACGCACCGCAATGGTTTCAATAATAAAAAACCAACTGTTGAAACACCTATCCAGGTATTTACAACTCCCAATTAGTTTCTAACAATCATCGCCAATTGACGCTTATGCCTCCAAAACAACACACCGTTCCCATTGGTAAACAACAAAACTGAAGTTACTAATTATAGCTTCTGAGTTGTTGCTTCTGCAATTAAATTGTTTACTTATTTTTGTTGGTGTGCAGTCATCACTCATCCAAAATATCAAAACAGAAACACACCCAATTATTGCATTCCATATCTTTTTTTTTTTTTGCAGGTTTACTAAGAACTTATCTGCAGAGAAGATAAACTTGAGCACCTTCAAGGGTGAAGGGGAACTGTCAGATCTGGAATTGAATGAGATTGTGCTTACGGAATTGCTAGAGCTGCCCACTTGGCTTAGGCTCACAAATGCATGGTGCAACAGAGTGTCCTTTCGCATACAGTGGACACAGCTGAAGAAGGTTCCTATAGTCCTGGTAAGACAAGACTATTGCCATTGAACATTCCTTTAAATTCTGTTTATTTGACCTTCATGCATTGCTAAATGTCAGAAGGTTTTTTTTTCCAACAAATGTGAATTCCAATGCATCAAATTGAATATTTTCTGTTATGCAATTAACATTATCATTGAATAGATTTATTCATGAATGTAATACTGCTAAAACCATTCAAAGAAACAAATGGAGAAACTAGTAATGTTCAGTTTTTCTTTTCCTGAATGAACTAGAGAAATCAGAATTAAATTGTATTTAAATATATAATTACACCAATTATAAACAAGAAGAATATTTTCATTATGTTCAAACAAAATTTATATGTAAAAAATAATAACATTAATTAAAATTCGGAATTCATTAATTATTATCCAATTAATTAAATTAGTTTTATCACTTATCATTGTTTTTGCTTGTATTATAAATTTAAATTTCCGTTACTGTTTATTTGCATATCAGCAGCTGCTTTTACTGTACATAAAAAAGGTATTCAATTCAATTGAATTGAAATTAAGCATTTGCAGCTAAAACGAACTTATCTTTAGATACTCCACTCAAAACAAACAGATTGCGGAAACTTTGAAATATAAATAGATATATTTTGGTTGAGAATTCCGGCGAAATAATTTACTCAAGCTTCTGAATTCTAAGAATATTTTGAAATAAATATTAAGAATCTATTGTCAATAATTTTTTATTTTATTTATTTACACATGGGCAATCGACCCAAGTCAGTGGTTTTTAACCATTTTTTTTGTGCCATGCCCCATCAAAGCCTTTCGAAAATTCTCATGTTCCTTATGTAACATATACATAATACTCGATACGGTTAAACTCTAGATATGTCCATTTTCGAATTGCGTTGACCCCACGTTGGGAAACACTGACCTAAGGAATGTTTTCTTAATAATTGGAATTTCAAACATGAATTTATTTTTGTAAATAATATTAAAATAAACCGCAATATTGATAACGTTTGTAGATTGTTGAAATTGTTTACTTTTTCTTTGTGATATTGAGAATAATAGAAATAAAGAAAGAGTGAAATAAGAACATAAGAAAACATACAGTAGTAATAAATGTTTGTTTTATCGTTCGCTTAAAATAGACACGTTCTGATAACTAAATTAGCCCAGTTATCATAATAACTTGAATACAGGACGACTTGAAATATTATATTTAATGTATATTGTCTTAAGGAAAGCTCAATTCGCAATAATTCTACCAAAATATTTAATATACCTTCATTTTTTTTTTAATTACTGTTTAACATTTCAAATTATATAAATAATTATGTTATTTTATTATCTTTTTTTTAACATACACATTTTTGATAATAATGAAATATTAATTGGATTATCGCAGGACGATGCTTGTTGAGTGTAGATTAGGTGTGAATTATGAAGTACAATTTATGGTGGGAAGCGTACGGCGAGTTCAGGGATTAATTAAATTTATTCATGAAATTAATGTTTAACGAAATTAAAATTTGTATCAAACCAGAATTAATATTTTGTGTATTTTATTACTTCTTTCGACCCTTTAAAAGAAGTAATAAATTTTGTAATTTTTATGTGATTAAAATTTAAAAAAAAACATTAATTTGAACTTAAAATTCAGTGATTTTAAATGTATCAGTGGATAAAGAATTTATATGCAATGTTTATAACATTGAGAGCAACAAATTGAGAGTACAACTTTACCTCGCATAGGCCGGATAACTGTTTGGAAACCGGACTGATCGAAGATTTTAAAGCCGTATTTGTATACTAGAATTTTAGAATTTTTCAAATCGGACTGTAGTGATTATTGATAGTATTTTTCATAACAGTTCTTGAAAATTCAGTTTATTTCATTAAATTTTCAAATACAATTTACTGGTTAATTAAGTGCTAATATTGAAGTGTAATTTGCAGTATTTTGACATAATCGCCTTGTTTATCTATTGTGTAGAGTATATAGAAACTACGTCAGTTCATATTTCATTTTTTAATGTACTTTACTACATTGTATATATTTTATTTTTATTTTCAGAGTTTGGACGAAGTTAAAATAATTGTTGAAACTTGCGAAGAATTACGAACTAATACACCGAGTGCCGCTGCAGCCCCAGTTCCTGGAAAATATAGTTTTATCCATAAAATCATAGATGGAATAACGATTAACGTTAACAAAGTGATAGTTATATTCAAGAGTCCAGCGTTCACAGCCAACATCGAGGTAAGAATGCACGTTTTATCTTCATCAAATTTAGGATATTTTTATATAATCGAAACCTTGATTGTTACACAATTCAATTACAACTTTTTGCGAACCGTCAGATTATCGGAAGTGTTCTTAGTTTATCAATATGTTCATATTTCTTTTAGCATCGTGTTTCGTGAAAAAATCATACATCTTGTGTAACATAATAAATAAGTTTTCAATTCCCAAGCGGAAATTCTCGATCGATTGCGTGATTGTAACTTTTGAAAATTACTTTTCACAACTCCTTGCGATGAGCTTTAGCTGCATGCACGAACGAGATGTAACTAGTTTCAAGGTGAAATATCTTAAGAAGTTGATTTTTTTTAAAGTAAATTGTAAGAAGTTTATATTCTGGAGGAGTTCGGTGTTTATGGTGGATGCGCTTGGAAAGAATCGATTAACCCTCCTTTTTTTTTCTTGTTCTAGTATGTGCGTATGCACATAATTGCGTGATGCGGAATGTTGTCGTATCGATTGATAAATGCACGTCATTCCTTAAAGGTGCTCTTGCTTCGACGTAATTGCTTCAAACATTTGTTTCGTAACTTTATTGCAACATTCATTGTATTGAAAACAAACATTCATTTTGTCTACTCTTGCTTTTCTTTTTTCGACTGTAGTTTGTCAATGAATAGAATTCAAATTATTTAATTCATTGTAATATAAATAGATGAAAATACGCTGAAGAAGCGACATTTAACATGCATCTAGTATTATTACTAATTCGTGGACACACAAGCTTTTCTAAGTTTTCAGGTATTAGGTTACGATCGATTGGAATGTAGTGCTGTAACTTGTCTGGGAATTGTATTTTTATTTGTTTTACAGATATCAAGGATTTTGGTAGATTCGAAGAATCCGCGATGGAAGAAGGCCGAATTGCCGATGACGCGATTGAAGGAACCCGAAAAGGGTCAGATATTAATTTTCAAGGAGCTGGAATGGCAGACGGTGAGGATCGAGGCGAAATCTACGGTGGACAAGAATCTTACGCCACTGAAGTTATTGACTAATCAGGCGAGATGTCGGATAGTCATCAAAAAACGACTGTCGGGTAAGTCTATACTTAGAAAGAGCATCAATAAAAGTAGAATGAGATAAACATTTAATTAAACCAACAGATTCAAAAAAATCATTCAGAAATAAATTCGACGTGTATGCAAGAGTGATTTCTAATAAAACTAAGAATTAAACACGGATTACTTGAGGCGTGAATTAATATTGTTAATTAATTTTCAGATTGCTTTGTGATGGGTTCAAGAATCACTATCATCTTGGACGATTTGCTTTGGGTGTTGACGGATTCGCAGCTGAAGGCGGCCTTGCATTTTCTGGATTCACTCTCTGGATTAGTGGAGAAGGCGACTGAAGTAACAAGGAAAGCTAAGGCTGCTAGGAAATTAGAAGAACTGCCAGAGTATAGAGCGCAATTAGCGCAGCAGGCTCGTGTCAAAGATCGGGAATCGGAGATATCCAAGATATTCGCCATGTGCGATGTGGTTGAAACATCTTACCATTTCCTATCGCATAAAATCGTGCTGCATCTCAGCGACGATTGTGGACGTACGTAGAAATTGATTGAATATTGAATGCATGTAACAATTGATTTCTTCAGCTGGACGATCGACGCATCCAAATTTGAAGGATGGCGGCGCTCTGCAGATCTGCCTGGAAAAGTTCCAAGTGGATTACTATCCTTACCATTTGGCGAAGCTAGATAGGAAACATTGGCCCAAGTATACGGAGGCCGATATACCGATCGTTCTTTGGCAAGACCAAGCGCTGAATTCGTTTAAGACAAAGTTTTTGGATTTGCTGGACAAGAATATAACACATCACGCGCCTTTGAGCCGAGCCAATAAGGTAATACATTAATTCATATAAATTACTTTTGTTGAAGTTGTGATTAAGGTTTATACATTTGTGCAGGGTGCCAAAATGGAGAACGACGTTACCTCACCTGGTGCAGAGAACAGGCGGATGTCGAACGCGCATCAGGCCAATGTAAAGTCGTTCGCCGTGAATCAATTCGCTAAGCTGATGACGACGTGCGTCATCATGCGTATCGAAGACTTTACGATTTACCGAGTGACAACATCCAAGAGGAAACTGATGCTGAAGGAGTTCATTTCAGGTAAAACGAGACACACCGAACGCCAACTTAACGCTTACTAACAAACAAATTTTAATTGATCAATTAGCACAAACGAAAAGGAAAGATTTCAAAGGTACCTCTACTGAGATTTTTAATAAGAGTTGGTAGAGTAGAGAACGTTTGCCGATTTGTTGATTTGCTCGTATTTTTGGTATCATCACAAAAGATTACACTTTTATCGTTAGCTCAAAAAATATTTACTTAGACATCCACTTTTAAGACCTAATATTTGATTTTGTTCAATGAGGTTGTAAGTGCGGGTATTTATTGGAGTTGGTTAAATAAGTAGAAATCATTATTTAGTTTATTTGAAATTAGTTAATTACATAATGACGTTGATGTAATATTTGTTGCTTTAAAATGAAAATCTAATTGTTTAATTTTATAGGAGACAGAGAGCATATGCAACTGCCAGAGGACGCGAAAATTATCCACGCGGAATTTTCGTACTTCTATTATCCTGATGATACACCGTTTCCACGTAAGTATTTTTTCTATAATTTTGATTTGTCGTATCTGAAAGTAGTTTTTCATAGTTCCACCTCCAAAGTTCTACGTGCAAGTGAATCCTATACAGATTTACTTCGACGTCGATAGTTGCTTGTGGTTCAACTCCTTCGTGCTGAACTTACATCAATCTCTGCTAGATTCCAAGCAGGATATGCCCAATTCAGATTTGACCTACATCGATGTTAAAATCGAAGCTATCCTACCTAGGGTGGGTGATTGATTTATTAAAGTTTTTTAAAAAATAATTGAATAATTTAACTTGATATGTTTATTAGGTTGTTTTCGAGAGCAGTAAGGAGTATCACGCGCAACGGGATCGTCCGAAATCTTTAACTTTCCAAGTAACACGAGCTACCATCACAAACGTACGCAGTTTGGAGCAGTCTTCTAGAGCTGATTTGGCCAAGTGCGTGGATTCCTTCCACATGGGTTCGCTGTTTTTCGGTTCGGACTTTCCATCCAGACCCAACGATTTCAATATCGTCACGCAGAAATTCTTGGATCATATCGCGGCCAAAGATAATATCAGAGATACTCCGACGGAACTCGACGCGAATAACATGAACAACTTCGTAAGAGATTTTCAATTATTATGTATATATTGAGAATCTGACGGTCTTTGGCTTTAGCTTTGTCAGATAAGCCGAGAACTGCTTTGGACCGAAGCCAAGGACGTGTGGTGCATTAGTTTGGATCCGGTGTGGGGTGATTTCCATGGAGCAAGGGCTTCCACTAAGCCTATACCGTTCCTGGATGCCGTTCCGATTACGGTGTGGGTGCACATGAACATGGATCCCAATTCGACAATCAAAAAGGAGGAGAACAGGAATGCGGATATACACGCCCTCGCGCACATCTCCAACCTCGTTAGTGTTCAACTCAATCATTACCAGTATCTGTTCTTGCTCAGACTTGCGGAGGACGCTGGAGAATTGGCCAGTTTCCTCTCAATGGATGCCAACAGGATCATGAAGGTTCAATTTCGCTTCGTAAATTACTTAGTAATAAACTGAAATGTTCTTCTTCAGGTTGATAACAATGGATCATTGATCTTCGGGGCGTTGATTCCACAATTGGAAGCTACTTTTGTTATGCCATCTCAATACCCCGGTAAAGAATCTTCCGGCGGAGACGTCGAGTCTTTTGTACCAGATTCTTCTAGCATTGGAGATGATATACTCATAGGAGGTAAATTAAAAAATGAAGTTATAAGTACAAGTTAAGTATTTTTTTTTATAATTTGTAGGTTCCACTGCAACGGTATGGCAGCATAGTACTTTCTCGATGTCGCATTCGATTCAGTCTGTCGGAGATGGGAGCAGAAAGATCCTGCCGAACGGATCTAGAAATGCGATGCCCGAAATGTCTTCCAGTTGTTCGATGAACTTCGTTCCGCAAACTGTAGAAAACAAAGCCGTAGCGAAAATGAACAATCAAACCTTCTCTAATATACCCAATAATTTTAACGCAGGTGAGATTGACAATTCGCATTACGTTTTCAACGATATCTAAGAACTATTGCTTTGCAGGATTATTTTCCATGAAGAAGGGTTTCAATTCGCTGATGACTTCAATAGACAGCGCATTGAAGACCAACGTAGACGACATCAGCGATAGCATTTCGATACAGAGCGACGCATCCAGCGAATCGGAAAAGTACGTGATTATCTCGAAGGATTCTAATGAAAGAGAGAACTTCTTAGATAGCATGTTCAACGTGATGGATTTTGAAGCCAACACCAAGCGGTCAGTGGAAACAGCCAATGAAGCTTTGGAAGACGATTGCACCGTTACATCTTCCAGCAATCATTCGCTCACAAGCAGCTGCAGAAGAAAAGATATCGTACGTTTAATTGAATTTGATTGGAAGAAGGTATTAAAATCAATGTGAATCATCTTCAGGTGTCCATTACTACGTTCAAATTGAACAAGGTCGAATTTCTTCAGCAATCAGTGGGATATTCTTCATCGATAAAGTTGCAAGTCTGCAACATAGTCAACGACGACTGCAATTCCATCCCTTGGGATGAGTTCCAGGTTAGTGCCAAGTCGCAACTACAACGATTCTTTACTCTCTTTAAACGACATATTTATTATTGCACTTAACATGAACATGCCAAACGAGAAATACGCACAGAAAATTTTTGAAGAATCTCAATATACTTTTTTTTTTTAATTTATTTTGGTTGTAATTTTTGTTATTAAGCAGAATGATTTGTACTATGAATATTTCATTTTGTTTTTAATTTTGTTTTTTCTTTTGAGTCTTTGGTTTTTTTGTCGTTTTTTGGTGTTCGAGAGGCGACTCAAACTACGATATTTATTATTTATAAAAGAAGGGCGATTTTCTTGTATTTTATTTTTCTTTGTGCATGCCTCTGAATGTGTTTTTGTGGTACAGGCCAAAATCAAGGTATTGAATAATATAAAGGTTATCAAGTTTAGTTTGCATCTTGTTTGCCTCTTCAAGAGATAGGAAAAGCGTAGAAGCTTAGCGAAATTTCTAGTTTTTATTTTTTAGTTAGGTTTGCATGTTTTATTACATATTTAGGTAGATATTGAGGTAAGGGGATGATACGTCTTACTTACTGTTGTTCGTTATTGTTTCGATAATGGTTTTTTAGTATGTGTGAAACGAGTAGTTATGACTGAATGGGGTTTTTTCTTAACGAGCGTGTTGTCTGTTTAGAGCAAGTTCAGTTCGAGATCGAGGGCCTGGTCAGAGAATCCCAGCACCAGTTGCACGACGACTCGAGTTAAGCTCAGGATGGACCACGATTTAGTTCTTCCTTCGTCGAAATCCTTAATGGAAATGGACTTCAGCGATAAAGACAACTTGAAGAAGATATTCAGGAATTTCGTGGATATGCAAGTTAGCGATCTGGATATGACCATGTCGATGAGTTCTGTGATCGGTTTGGCGGATTTGGCCGAGGATGAGATTATACCGATTCCGTTGCCGATGGAGGTGAACATCAATAATTTGATTCTAGCTGTTAATATTAACAAGTCTTTAAATAATTACAGATTAATTTGATCAATATTCAGCTGCACTTAAACGAGGATAGACCTCCCGTTAACATAACATCTCCGGGCCCTATACCTTTAGATCTGAAGCTGTCAAAGTTGTTTATTTGCAGAGGAGATGACGGCGTTTTTCAGATATACCCCAATAAGGAAACGTCGGTTTCCAATTCGTTCTCCAGTTTATCAGGTGGGTCACTTTATAATTTATCGATTCATTATACTTTACACTTATCTTTTTCAGTTCAAGAAAACGATAGTTTGAATCAGCAAGTCAGCAAACAGCTGAAATTGGATAACGACGAGCTGAGGAGAAGACTGTTGGCGTTTGAACGTGTTTCTGAGGAGAACAGATTGTTGCGTAAATCAAAAGAAGAGACGGACGTGCTGAGGTCGTGCCTTACTTCGTCGCAGGAGGAGGTCAGCAGGCTTCTGGACGAGAAGCGAAATTTACTGGATGAGATTAAGAATTTGCAGGATCGGTTATTGAGTGATAAGAGCAGGCAGTGGTCTAGTAAGAGATAGCAATGTTGTTTCGACTGCACAAACTGCTGCTCGAATATTAAGAGGTAGTTAGTCAGTCAACGTCTTACGATTATGATTTTATATATGTTTAAAGCCGGTTGCTGAATCATCATCGTCGTCGGATGTTGTTGAGTAGATACATTCGAGGCCCTGCGCGACTTATTTATCTTTTGTTTTTATAAACGATTGCGCATTTTTTTTTAAAATATAAATTTTAGTTTTTCCTTCAAGAAAGAAGAAGCCAAAGAAAAATTTTCGTCTGTGTAAAATACTAAACTCCTAGTGTAAATACTGTTTTTATTTGTAAAGGCATTTACTATTGTCGATGTTTATGTTATTATGACATATGATTATATATATAAATATGTACATTGTTTATTTTGTGACAGAGCTTTCGAACCATCTACGTATCATCGCGTGTATAAACTTTTGTTTTTGATGATCTGAAATGATGTTATGTGATTGGTTGCGTGTATGTTATTATTTTTTTTCTGATATACATGTGTTTCGTGTCCATGATTCGTCCATTGTTTTGCTGTCGTCCCTTACAATTCTCGTGTGTGAGTGTATTTTTTTTTGTATCTGGCGGGAAGAGCGAACGATCGTTTCCACGTTGCAGCGTAATTGCAATTGATTCACGAAGATCTCGACGTCGTTACGTAAATCCGCTGTTCGACAATAATTTCCGAGCTTCTTCCTCGACAATAATCGTTGTTCGCGATTGGTTTTTCGTACGTATGTATATCCGTTCTCGACCCGTTGCCATGCTTACGTGACGCCGTTGAAATGTTCAGAAGCCAGATTTCGTTTTGCTAATTGCTAGTGTTGTATTGCAAAAAAAAAATAATTATTAAAAAATAAAGAGAAAGAAAGAGAAAATTAAGTGATGTGATGTGAAGTCGATCATTTTTAATGTCCTCGAAAACAATGATGCGCTCTAATATAGGCAGAATATCGAAACAAGAAATGTATATTAGTTTGTTAAGAGAGCCTCTCGTGTATACTTTATATCTAAATCTAACGTAACATATCAGAAAGTAATTTAGTATACTAAATTTGTTAGTTTTACTTGGGTTAAGTGTGATGACACACCAATAAAACTTATTGACAGACATCCTGTTAGATTGTTACAAAAAAAATATTTATGCAGTTTTATTTCGTTGTATATTAGGAAACACTGGAGTAACGTTAAATTTGACCTAAGTAAAAAATATAAGGATTGGAATTATTTTTCAAATTTAACAATTTTAGAATTAAAATTTAAAATACCTATAAAATAAAAATTAAATATTTAAACCAATTTGGTTAAATTTTGAAGCATTCAAAAAATCACTAATATATTTTTAAATTAAAAAAAAATACAGTAATTTTGTTTAATAACGGAGTTCTTGATAAATTTACAGAAAATTAATAGTGTTTCAGTAATTTTTATTCATATTACATATTTAGCTGTAAGTTGGATTGCCTACATCAAGACAGTTTTTGCAACAAATTATTCTTTCATACGTAATACTAACAGTTGAAAATCTTACGTTAAAAAAATAATTTATCCAAACTAAATAATACTAATAGTTATTAACATTTTGTGAATAAAGTTTAGATTATTTGAGCTTCATCTTATGAAAATGAATTAAAATAATATTGAAAGAAATTCTATTTCATATAATGGTAAATGAAACTTATAAACTTTAATAAATTTATATAATTTTCAAGAATATAAGTTTGTTAAAGTTTTGAAAATTGTCTTTTGTTAAATTTTTATACATGATAAATGTTCAAATTTAGTTGCATATACTAGTTTATACGGGTCTATATCGCAAGCCCGACAACCGAAAGACCGTCTACCATAATCCCGACAATCAAAATTCCGACTGTATCGAAATCCCGAATATATCGAAATCCCGACTACCATAATCCCGACAATCGAAATCCCGACAGTGTCTTTTATTATTATAATTTCTACAATATTTTTTTTAAATTATTGTAATATATTTTAATAGGTACGACGGATAATGGAAAAAATATTTTTAAGACCTAGGTCGATGACTCTTTTGCCCGATTATTAATTGTTGTTATTTATTCTTAATAACAATAAATAATATTAATTATTATTGTTTTTTTTTTGTTGACTTATTCATTATAAAACTTAAGAATAAGAAATATTCTATAATAAGATTAGTTTATGTTATTAACAATAAATATCAACATTTAATAATTTTATTATGTTTTAGATTGTCGGGATTTATACAAGAACAATAATTATATGATAAACACAGAAATGTTTACAGAAAACAGTAAATACTATATGAAATATTTGTTCATTAAATATCGATAATTACATTTGATTTTACTATCCTTGATTTAATTTCAAAGCAATCATTAAATATTCAGTTTTAACCCCCAGGGGTGTCGCAGAAAAATAATGATAGATCAATCCTGGTTGTTTTTCTAAACATACTCATTCTACGCGGGAGTCGCAAAAACTGTTTGAGAATGTGATTTCTTTTTATTTACAAGGAAATAGAACATTTTCAAGAAATTTATTGACTTAAGAAATGAAATTAATGAATATAGTTTTATTCAACAACTTATTGGTAATGTGTCAACTAAATATTTTTGCTTGAGAATTTACAACCAAGTCACTTGCAAAGGTTGAGTATTAGAGTTAATAGTTGTTATTAACAACTATATATTAAATGAAATTAACGAAATCATTTAGCAATCATGTATTTTTTATTTGCTACTTTTGATTGTTTTTAATATCACAAATATACTTAAGTTAAAGTTTCAATTAATAACTTGTTGCTTATTTAATTAAATATAATTTAGATTCATTCCAGATTAATAACATATAGCAGTTGAATTTATATTAAATGATATATTTAAAGCAGAAATATCATCTGATTTTTTTTCTACTTGGAATTAGAAGAATCGTGAATTGACATTTTATAAACATGAGCTCACGTGAGGTGACAATAGTGTGGTCTATCATTGATTTAATAGCCCCCAGAGCAGAGCATGCAAAGTGGCTGGTTATTTGCATAATGGATTCGCATAATTATAGAGAAATGCACGAAATTACGATAATGGAAAAGGGCAGGAAAGGAAAGAAATATGAAAAAAAAACGAAAAAAATTGATGAAAACAAAGGAGGTGCACGCAAGAATCCTTCCTTCCGCGATGGAAATACGTAATTTGTGAGATCGCTGATAATTTCCTCTATTTTGTTTACATTTTATTATTTTTTCCGCGGCGATCCGTACATTTTTTTTGTCGGTGAGGATGTATGGGGTGGGAGAAGGGTGTGCGAATTTTCGGGGTAGGTCTGCGGAGGGCATGTTTTGCCCCAATTACGAGGACAGCCGAGGGCCCGGATCGTCGTCCTGCTCATCATCATGCAGGCGTTGCGTCCTGGCGGCGAACTCTCGTACCAAAAAGGGAAAAACGCCCCTCCGGAGATGCTCCACGGCGCACAACATTCGTCAGGAATGTTCGTCGAAGACCTCCCGTGTGTTTGCCAGAGAGAAAAAAACACCGGAACACGGCGATAATACGCCAAGAAAAGAAAATAAATTTATAAAAAAAGAAACCAACAAAAAGAAAATAAATAAAATACAAACGAATAAGATAAAACAGAGTTGTGCCGAGAATGATTGTTGTGATCTAACTGTAACAGTGTATATCTTATTACTTATATTATAAAAAACCCTCGCCCACCACCCCCGAAAACCACGAGACACCGAATCCATCAAATTAATAATTTCTTTTATTTACAGCAAAATCACTCATTCATCATCATCAACATTATCAGCAAACAAAAAAAAATATATATTAGCAAAGCGAAACAAAATCATCACCTGCTGCCTAGATCGAAATTGATGCCACAAAAGACAATCGCATCACTTCGAGACTTTTTAACTCTTTATTTTCCATCTTTCTTTATTACTTGCTTTCCTTGTTTCTATTTTACTCTCATCGAAATCGCTACCACACAGAAAGCTTCTCTCATGCTTTTATTTCCTGTATTACTTATTATTTTATATAAGAAATAAAATACACCCACGAGAGTGACAGTTGTTTTATTAATCTAACTAAACACATCTTCCAGGCCTTTATTTAAAAAAAAAAACAACACCTAAAACGGACAACCTAAAACAACAACAAACAATTAAATAAACGCAACAAAATATGACAAAAAAAAAACGCCAATTAACTAAAGACTGATTTAAATAAAGTAAACAACAAAACAAACAAAAACAGAAAAGAGGAGACGCAAACAATTTGGAAACCTGCGGTTCACTTTGGATATATTACGTGATGAGAGTTTTAAATGCCAAAAAATGCACGCACGGTAAGTGAGTAGTGAAATTATTATGTGTATTTTTTTTTGTATTTTCATTTAGATTTTTTTTTAAGTGAAAATGTTGTGGAAATCGTAACGTTTCGTAAGTGGGCGTAATCTGCCACACCCGAAAATTCGTTGCCCTGTTCAGTTTTTTTTTCTTTTTCTTTTCGTTTTTAGTTATATTATTTTTGCTGCGTTTTCATTTTGCTTTGATTACATTTTTCCAACAAAAAAAAACTTTGAGCCAATAAAAGGTGATGCTTTTAATTTCAGTTAATTAAGCTTCATGTTTTGACACGCGGATTGAGCTCCAGTTTAATGAACCTCGACCGGAAGTCAAAACGCTCTTACATTCATATAAATTCATGGAAATATGAAAATTTTAATTGCTTTTTCTGTCTTGCAACGTTAATTTGATATTGGAATCAAAGAAAAAAAAAACTTTATTATATTAAGTTTACTATTATTGAAAATCTTTGTAGCAATTGTAGATAAATTTTATTGAATGAAAATGAATAGTACTAATTTTGATGATTTAATTTATTTATTATACACACTTTATTAGACTAAAAACCATAACAAATAGTAAAGTATAAAAAGATATGGACAGAATTAGGAGTATAATGCAAATATATACTAAAATTAGTTAAATTTTGTAATATTTCGTTAATAATTTATTAATTACGTGAATTAACGTTATGTTAAGATGTTAATAGTTATTCTACTAAATTATAGTTGGCAAATATTCGTTAATGCACGAATCATGTAAGCTCACATAATCGATGTCAATATATCAAATGAATATAATATTGATTATATTTAGCGAGAAACCGTCTAATTTTAAGTTCTAAGTGTTAGAACTAAACAGTATCAAACCGACAGTGCACAGAAGAGGTGTTCTTCTCGCGCTCTTAGACCCAAATAACTCTTCAATTAGTTAGTGATTTAGAAAGATTATAAAATTGAAGCAATACAAAAATTCGTATTTTGTAGGAAAAATAAGTCTTGAATACTATATTAGTATTTGCTAGAAGTATAAAGTTGATGTGAGTGTTTCGTAGCAAATTTGTTTTTCTACAGTGTAAATTTATTTGACTGAAGTTGGCTGATGTCGATCATCTATTCAATTGTTTTCATCCATGCACGTTGTTTAACTATTGTAAGTTTCAATATTGAAAACCTGTTAATTTGAAGAAATGTGTGAGTGATTTTCGTGTTGGTGTGTATATAAATAGTTGAAAAGTTTTGGTATTTTTAAATTAAAAAAAGAATATGTTATGTTTTTTTTAATTTGAATTTATGATGCGTTTTAGTGGATATAATATATTAATAGAGTATTTTATATTAGCTGTACATGCCATTTAGGCGCTTGGTTAAAAATAGTCCTCCAGCACTTCCAATCCTTTTCTCCTTCCGTCCAATTGCGTATGTCAATCGTTAACACGTTTTCCTCATCATTGCGTCCTCTATTAGTCTCATCTCTATGTATTTAACTTAATTCACTATACAGCAACACCTCGTATAGTGCGGTTTTGATCAGTACGAATTCTATATAGTGCGGTTTAAAAAAATCAGAACAAACTAAATTTTAAAGAAATAGTACACATCTCTATGTTTTAACTTAATTTACTATACAACAACACCTCATGTAGTGGGGATTCAATCAGTACTGATTCTATACAGTACGGTTTGAAAATTTAAAAACAAACTAAATTCTAAAAAATAGTACACATCTATGTATTTAACTTAATTCATTATACAACAACACCTAGTATAGTGCGGTTTCGATCAGTACGAATTCTATATAGTACGGTTTAAAAATTTCAGAACAAACTAAATTCTAAAAAAATAGTACACATCTCTATGTATTTAACTTAATTCATTATACAACAACATCTCGTATAGTGCGTTTTTGATTAGTACGGATTCTATATAGTACAGTTTAAAAATTTCAGAATAAACTAAATTCCAAAAACAATAGTACACATCTCTATGTATTTAACTTAATTTACTATACAATAACATCTCGTATAGTGCGTTTTTGATTAGTACGGATTCTGCATAGTACGATTTGAAAATTTCAAAACAAACTAAATTCTAAAAATAATTGTACACATATTTCTATACAGTCAAATAACTTTTAGTACAGTTTAAAGTCTTCGATTAGTTTGTCTTCAAGCAGTCCGGGATATTGACGCACCATGCGAGGATTTCGTTGTATTAGTAAAAATAAATGAGAATTTATAATCAGTAGATATTTTTTTCCCTCAAATTTAACAAGCGTTATTTTGAATACGTGAATGAATCACGTTTAAAGTAATTAGTTCGTCTGTCAATTGCATTCTATTCTAACATGTACTTAAAACTAATTATAACTCTGTGGACGAATTTATATATGTATTTTTCTTTTGTAGCCACAATCAGTGTCAGTTAGTTTAACTTATAAGCTCTGTTTTCTGTTAGACTAAACATAATGTCGCAACATAAATAACATGCCTCAATAATCCCCACATAAATCTCGAGGAAAGCAAAACACCCCAAATTGCATCGTTACATCCGACACATTCCGACTTCGCGTCGAACTGTAATTGTTTGTGTGCTTTATAGTATAATTGAAATTATAGTTTATCATCGAAACCTTTCAACACTAGTATTTTGTCAAATGATTAATCTTTGAATGAATTAGAAATTCTATACGTGAAACATATTGATTGATAAAGATTGATTAATTTTCATTAATATTGAAGAAAAGTTGTCAAAAAGTTATATATTTATAGCCAAATAAAAAAAAAATCAATATTTTTATAAGATGAAATATAAATAATTTTGACTAAATTTACAATTATTATGACTTGCTGCTGTATAAAATGAAATAAATGATATTCAATGTTAATAATTTATTTTATTGTAATCATTTAATTACAAATTGTTAATAAATTACGAGTTATTACAGTGTAAAAGGAGAGCGAACAATTGTAAATTTATATGCAATTTAAATATATTGTAATTTGCATAATTAACGCTGTTTTAATTGCATGTTTTAATCGTGTTTTTAATTAATTAAATAATTAATTAAATTTATATTACATTAAACACTAAAGCAAAGTTTCAACAAACAATTAATTATTGTACAATCAATATATTTTTTTTATATGTTATTTGGCGAAAGAAAAGTTTAAGAATTCAATTTGAAGAAAATATTAAATTATATTAGTTGTATTGCAAGGAAGTATTTTATTTTAATATTTACTGTATTTTCTATACACACGTGTTAAATTCACCTATAATTAAATAATTAGAAATTTTGGAAAACTTGAATGAACATCAAGAATATAAAGAACATAACTAAGATACTTAATGATAGAATTCAATTATGAGAACCACAGATATTTTACACAAAAAATAATCTATATTTTGTAGTTAATATTTTTCCGTCAATGTTAATATGTTTAAATAAAAATAAATGATGAAAAATATAAACAAAATGATCAAAAGTAACGAATTGATGGTTTCAGAAAATGTAATGTAATTATTTTGTTTTACGAAACTTTAGGAAAATATTCATTTTGATACAATTGCATATTGTACAGTGACAAAACTAAGTTAAATGAAATGAAAAATTATTATCAAAAATTAAAGTTATTATGATAACAGTTAAAGTTTTTATATTAGAAATCTGTTAATATTTTAACTAATTCATGTCAATTTTAACCAATTATGTTTGGTACATTTCTGATGTTTTTAAATCTAAAAATGCACTATTTTAATTTAATAGATTCCAATTTTAAAATGAATATAAATTATATACTAAAACTTAATGGATTTGTATGGAAAAAATAATGAATTAACTTTTTTCTAATCAAATGTTTAGTCAGTGAGTTCTTAATAAAAAAATACTATTAACTATGATACTTAAATAAAGAAATATCTAAGGAGATTGTAAAAATTAGCATACTTAAGTATTTCAAATTTTTCAAATAAAATTTTGCAATTTTTATAAATTATTTAAAGTTTAATGGATTTATATAGAAATTTTTATTAATATATTTTTCTCCAAGCAAATGTTGCGAGTTTTATTAATAACTGAGATACCTAAATGATGAAATATATAAGAAATAGTAACAAATGCCAAACTTAAAAAGAGTACGATAAAACAAATACTTAAGTATTTTAACTTTATAAATTGAAAATGTTCGTAAGCTTAATAATTAATGGAAAAGTTTACTTCATTCAACTTTTGAAAATGTAATTCTGAAAAGTTGATCATTTATAGAATAATGATGAATATAGTGAATTTGTAAATGCGTTAGATTCTTGGGTTATTAATTAGTGAATGATTTCGAGGCTGGAATACATTTATGTTAAATAAGTCGTTCATTGATGGAAGCATAATTTGTATATATATATACATATTTATTTTTTTTGATCGCGTGACATTTGGCGGTCGGTGAATACGTGAATGAAGTGATTTTTTTTTCGCATACTTCAAAGTTGCGTGGGAAGGGGTTGTGAGGAGGGTGAGGTTCGTAAAGGTGGGATGAAAGAGGGTGTGGGAGGGGTGGTCGGCCGGCGTGTTTTGAATGTTGTATATGCATGTATATGTGTGTGTAGTATTGGCAAAAGCCGGGGGGTTGCGTTGGCGGTATATTGCGAGAGGGGTGGTGTAAGGAAGGTGAGGGTTGTTGGTTGTGTGTGTGTGTGTGTGGCAGGGTTAGAGGGTGCGAGGATGGAAGGGACGATGATGAAGGAGGAGGTGGTGGAATGAAGAGGTGGAGGCATGCGCCTAGGCAGACGCCGCCGCCCCCATCCAAAAATCCAGCGCCAGCGCCGCCACAGCATCCGCCGCCTCCGCCGCCGCCACCACCAACGTCGCCGTCGCCGCCCCCTGCCGGCGAGCTTTACAACCGCAGTATGACCTGAAATATCGCGTACTCAGTTACGGTCGATTTTACCTCTATAAAACCCTTAAACTCGTTATTATGTGCTAAACTCACATTCAGTGCATATCCGTTAATTACAGTGCCAAAAAATATATATAAATAAAAATAAGTAGCAGCAGTTCTATTCGATACATCATCATCACCATCATCATCATCGTGAGGGTAGGAAACGGTACGCGACACTAGCCGAGATCCGCGAGATTCAAGTCGACGACAGAGGAGTAACAAAACATACACATACTCAAACATCATACACATATTTATATATGTGTGTGCTCATAGATTCATACATTCACAGTTAAACTTACACAGTTATATACGTACGCAGTGAGAAAGACTTGAAGATCGAGATGAAGATGATCGAAATGCATAATTAGTCGAGCACGTTTTATTTACAAATTTCGAAGCCGGTATTTTAGAGCAATTTTATCCTCCTTCTCAACCGCATCCCCATTCACAGCTCCCGTTCCCCCCTCGTTACAATAATACACCGAAGATTGATTTCCTGCAGCATCTCGTACGTTCGAGGTGGTTGGTTCCTCTTTCCCGTTCAAAATACACGAACACACAAATAAAACATGGGTGCTAAAGGGAGTGTTGAAGCAGGAAAGTTGAGTGTTCAAAATTGGAATAACATCGAGGTGAGTGATCATCAGAGTACTTTCCACACAACATAATTGTTTTACAGTGGTGACCCAAAAGTCTAAAAGCGGCGGCCGCTGCGGCAATTTATAAATACATTTTTGGAGAGAGCCGAAGAAGAGATGCTCCGAACCTCGGAGGGTTTTTCACAAGCGTGCATTTCGTTACTCTCTTTCTCGCATCTCTTCTCCATCCATTCATCCCTCGCCTTCATATTTCAAACGGAACAAAAGCGTCCCTTTCCGCGGCTTCTCATATTTTGTTGCCCTGTACATGTTATATATTTTTTTTTCTTTTCTTTTCCTCTCTTTGTTATTATTATTATTCTCCGTTGTACGTGTACGTTTGGAAATGGGGGGAACTTTTGTGCGATGTTTAGATGGTTACGTCACACTTACGCCGGGATGCACACGCGATCGATGAGAGCTGCCCCTCCCTAAACAGATCCGGAGGCTGGAGGAGATGCTGTACCCTACTCCTCCTCCTCCACCACCACCTCTTCCTCCTCTCTGGACCAAAGCTCCGCTCGTCTGGTCTTCGAGATTCGGTGGCTGAAATCGATTCGGCCCCAAAAGAAATATTTAATTAACCCGCCCCAATCTCGCCGTCGTCTCCACCTATGATGCTGCTACTGCTCAATATACACTATGGAAGTAGGCATTAATCCCATACATCCTACATACCTAGTCTACCTGGGGTGTTTTCCAACATTTTTATTACAAATATACCATGATCCATTATTTTGTATTTTCATGTTAAAAAATGGTTAGTTAAATATTAATTACTATAAAAATATATAAACTATAAATATCCATTCGCTTTTATAAACGAAATTACTTAATCAAATTTACGTTAATGAACATGATTCGTTCCAAGACGATATTCGCTACCCGAATTCTTCGATTTAACCATCGATTTAAGCAGCGGCTTAAGCTTCATATAACCACTAGCGTTATCTTCTAAAAGTAAAGCAAATCAACCGATTCGTTATCCGAATATGTTGTGTTTTCCGAATATAAAAATCTATCACTTTTGTTGTCCAAACTGTATATTAAGTATTTATTGCAGGTGCAAAATAAATCGTTTATTCGTTATATAAATTCGAGTTCTAAAAACATTCAGAAAATAAATTATATTTTACTTATTGCATCATATAAATGTTCATACTTGTGAATGATAAATGTCTTCCAAAAAGTTTACTAAGTTCATAATTTTTCGTAATTCAATATACTTATTATGTGTATAGTGATAAAGATGAAACGAAAAAAATGATTTTATTAATAATAATTATTGAAACACTTAAATTAAAAAAAAAGTTTAAACTAATTTAAAAGTATGCTCTAGAATCTAGACTACAGATTCTAAAATATAAATAAAGGAATAATGCGAAGTATCATTGTGTTGTTTCGAAAAGTCCGGATTCACTATAGTCCGGTTTGAAAATCTCAAAATAAACTACATTTCAAATGAACAAAATAAAATTTTGATTAAAAAAAAATAAGTACATAAGATTGTTTTGTTACAGATAAACTATTGTTTTTCTCTCTTTGTACAGTCAAGTATCGTATTGTGTGATATTAGTTTTCATTTTCCAATATATTAATGATATTAAAGTTATAATATTATTAGATTGTGTTGTTTACTATTCTTTAGCTCTGAGAGTTTTGTGATTGATCCCTGTCTCATCCACAGTTACGAAATTTATCAATGTTTAAACATATAAAACTTTGTTAAAAAGCAGTGATTATTTTATGTCGATTGTCGACAAATTATGACAATTCCAATATCTAATAATCTAATTTCTTTATTTTTTTCTCTCAAGAACTTTTTTAATAAGTGTATATGTTATTTACATAATATTTACGTAACATAAAATTAATCATTTCATGTAGACAAATCACAATCTCGTAAAATTATATATTTAGTAAAATTAGTATTAGTTCATTTTTGGTCTATATACAATGTAGGTATTTCTATAACAAAGTATTTGATAATTGAGAAATTCCAATTATTTTCAAAATTATTTTTTTTAATATAAAAGTAAATATTGTTTGAAATTTTGTTAGCAGTTTTTATACAGATTTATTTAAAATGGTAAACTATTTTTGTTTCTGTTTTTTTTAACAATTATTAGTCTTATTATTAATTATTATTAAATAGATAACAAAAAAACTCTTGTGTTTATGAAAATAATTATTAGAAGTCAAAGTAATTAGTTAAATTCTTAGTCTCCACTTCTTTACATTCGTTTGCGATATTACTACTTGTTTATCGTTGGGTGAACGCATTACTGTTACATGTAAGAAAATATATTTCTTCAGAAAACGCAACAATTTTATTTGATCTATAAATCATAGATAAAAAAAATGTACAAGTTTCACGTGATTTGTTACGTATTTAAACTCAGTTTATGTAATGTATTTTTTTATCATTATATCATTACTTTTATATAAACATGAAAAACTTGAACTTAAAAAGTATGATAAAAAAAGAGAGAGAGAAAGATATTTATTCGCAATAAAGATATGGAAAAAGGGCAGTGACCGAAGTCTGTTCAGACTGTTCACTTGATGGAATTTATATACCATGAATACGCAATTTTCGATGTAATTCATTATAAAATCCAGATATCTGTTTGTTATCAAATGCAGTCATGGTCTATGAGGGATGCTGCAGTTGAAAAGTATATTAAATTAACAAAATTAACATTAAACTTGGGTAAATTGAATAGGCTTTAAAACGACGTTAATCCATGAGTCTCAGTGTTAGCTGAGGGCCCCCAAACATTGTTATTCGTGGGTCCCTAAACATTGTTAGTCGTGGGTCCCTAAACAGTATTAGCCGGGTGCCCCAAACAGTGTTAGTCATGGGACCCTAACTAATACCGTTACTGTGATAATCGAGGGCCCACAAATGTTGACTGATCAAATGTTGTGAATTAACTTCTTCACGTATTTTTATGAATACATTTGTTAAATTTCTAATTAAATATAATAATAATTGATATATTTAAGAAATCTATAAAATAATATAAAAATAAATTGAAAGTAATTCATGTAAATAAAATTGAGACGAAATCAGGTTAGATGATTTGGAAAAAAATAATTGAAAAACCGTTACCATGGATATTTGTTATTTCATTTTAATTCAGTTTAATTATTTGAATGTACAGAAATGTCATTAATTTTGTGTGAGTTTATAAGAGTTACATTTTTTTTTTATCAAATAAAAATAAGTAAATAATTTAAGAAGCATGATAAAGGTTAGTGTCTTATAATTTATAAAATAAGTATATGAAAGTGAAAATCTTTTTAATAACTGAAAATTTCTATATGAAAAATATTTCTTTTTCTTTTCAATGCCCTCTTGGATCTTTTCAAATGAGAATAATTGCTTTCGGACCTCAAATTTTGTTATCATCACAAACAGAGATAGTTTTCAATAAAATTTCAATTTTTTTTTATGCGCGTATTTTGGAGGTGTTGAAACGTTTCAACTGTATTGATTGATGCATTGAAATATTGCGCAGCAATTCAGGAAATAACGATCATAACATAGGCAGAAACGATACCATCTATATTCCAAGCAGAACAATGATTGAAAGCGCACACCAATTACAACAACTGGAATTGGATTCAGTACCGTCCGACGAAGAATCCAATATTCGGTTTGAAACAGTTTGCATATATGCATGTATATATTACATACAAAAAATTATATATATATATATATGTACATACACATCGCACGTTGATGTCGATGAATTGCCGAAAGGCATTCAGTTTATTTTTTTTTTTGGTTTGGGTTGTTGGTAAATATTTCAACATCGTTGTCAAGATTCAATTTACAGATTAATTACAAAGCTTTTTTAAAAAAAATATTAATAGTTGTTGTAGTTGTATAATAAATGTTTTAATGGATTTGCGGTATTAAAATAATTAATTATTAAAAGCATCGAAATGATTGATAAATAACTTTGTTTAACACATTGTTTTTTTTATTAATTATTTATTATATTTATGCAATAGTTAGTTTACTGAAAAGGACCCTCTGTTACTGCTGTGGCATTTCGTAACAACGTTACTCGCGTGGCGTCTGAATAACTTCGTTAAATTTAACGTTAGTAATTCATTCATATAATATATAATTGATTAGATTGAGGAAAAGATAAATCATATTATAATTTTATGAATAACGTTATTTGTATAAGTAACATTAACTAGTGATCATTATGATCAATAATTACCATAATTCGAATGTCAATCATTTGGTAAAAAAATACAATATTTTTAGTATATCAAAAGGTTTATTAATTGCTTCTTTGGGAAATTTCTTCTATTGATAGAATTTTTGAAAGTTGATGTTTTACGGGATAAATTAAAAATTTTATTAATTAATGATAAACAAATATAATTAAAAGAATACAAATTATAAATGACTATAAAATGAAATAATACAAACGCGTTTTTTTTTAAATTATAAAATTAGTTACAATTAGATTCTTGACTTCAAAAATTTATCAAGTGTGATACTATTTGTTTGTTGTTTGATTAGTGAAATCGGTTTACGAACAATTCGGAATGCGAATAAATCAGATACAAACACTTTCGCGAAAGATTTTTACACATCTTCGGATAATGAACTTAACCCTTTGTGGCCCAGATTAATTTTGTCAGATCTATCGATTTTTTTGGATAAATTTGCTTAAAAATGTGTAATACTTTACAAATGAATGCATGATCAAATGTTTCTATGTTTGTTTAGTTTTTGAAAAAAAAAATGTGGTTCCTCCACTTGGAAATAATTATTCTTTATGTGATCCCATTGTGAAACCACTGACGCACAAAGAGTTAAAGTACATTTGTGGATCGATCAGTGAGACTAAATGTAGATGTAGAATAAATCGATGTTCGGTTAACGAACAATCATCTTTGATCGGATTATGTTCATAAACCGATCACAGTTTTCCAAACTGGGAGGCGCAGACTGCTCGAAGAAGAGGAGCGAATATTAGTCACAGTGAGCAATTTTCCAAATGACTGCTAAAGTTTTATCTATTTTATGAAATGTAGGGTGGCAAATGATTAAATATTTTTAAGTGAGCCGTAGTAACATCAAGTTTGGAAACCACTAGTCTATAATATCTCAATAAGAATTTAAATTTAGCGCTATTTTTACAACTAAATCTATCGTTCTTATTGGGACACCCTATATAATGAAAATATTTGAAGAATATTGAAAAGTTTATTATTAAATATGAGATTGTGATTGGTTGCAATTAAATGTGAGATTATTAGTAAAGTATTTAATCCAATAACCGTGTGTTGTGTATTATGTTAAGTCTATTAATATAATCCAAATAAATGTGAGAGCGGATTAATTATAAATAGGCGAGTTTAAGTTTGGCGCAGAGCGTTGTAAATGTTTGATGTTGGGATCGAAACGCTCGGACATGGGCATGGTGGATTAGAAGTGGATGGATGCATACGTATTATATACATACGCGCAATAGGAACACGTGAATATCAAGTGGCGTTCCCACTAATTGGGTCAAGTTAATTAAAACTTTATTAATCTACCGTCCAATATGTTTGTTTTAAAATTTCGCACCGTTTCCAGACACGGGAAGTGCGCGACCTTAATCTTATCGAAAAGCCATTTAAACTTTTCCAATCGCTTTTCCTCTCTCTCTCTCTCTCTCTCTCTCTCTCCAGGTACACACAAAAAAAAGAAACAAAATATCACCTTTGAAATGTTCAAAGCAAATTTCAATTAAATCGATTTTTGTTTGCATTTAATTAAAGTTTAACGCAATCCAAATTAGGAAATAACTATTTTATTTATGAAAAAAAGGTATCAAATTGTTTAAAGTTGGTAAACTTATTTATGTAAATACAACAATACCTCGCATAGTGCGGATTTAATCAGAATGGATTTACTTTTGAAAATTTAAAAAATATTTTTTTATACATAAATCCAAAAAGAGATTGACCAAATGATTAATGCGGTTTTAAAATCAATTATTTAATTAATTTTTAAATTAATCGATGAATGGATACGAAAATTAGGGCGTTTCGTTTCAAATCTATTGAGACGAATCCAATTTTTCTAATAGAAGTAATTTTAAAAAATTGTATTGAAATAATGTTTTCTTGTTTTTTAAATGATTAATACTATATTCAATTTAGTAATACTAACGTAACTTTAGATTATAGTTCTAATAAAATATTTGTATTATATGATTATTGAGTCATCTTTGCACTTTCAATATAAATTTTGTATAAATTCTTAATTTAACTTGTTGATTGTTTCTTACTAGTACTTTTCTTTAAATACATACGAATCTATTATATTTATCGTCAATTCCATTAAATTGGAACATGTAATCCACTTTAGTTATGGAAAACACATACATTTTTCATATTATTATTATTTTGTAAACCTTAATTACATGTGATCAAATTATTTGTAAATAACTTAAAGATAATGTTAGTTAAAAATATTTCATTTGGGAACTTTAATTGTATTAGCTGTTTATTGAAACTTATCAAAATCAAATAAAATAGTAATTTATATTATTTATTCAGTGCCGAATTTAGGATACTTGGGACCCTCACGCAAATTATATTTGGGGGCCTCCAAAAAATAATAATTTATTAAAAACACGTGCCTCATTGCCTTAATGAGTAATACTCCTGTGGTCTTATCCATTAGGCACTTTAGACGTAGCGCTTAGGGGCTACACGAAGTGTTGGGGCCCACAAAAAAAAAAAAAGATTCAATAGAATATTCAATAGAAAAGATGTCGACTGGGTAGGAAATTTAGTACTTAGAACCAAAAACAATCTTAATGCGGTCCTGATGTTATATATAATTATTGTTAAATATATATGAAAAATGTTATGTAAAAATTTCATTGAAACATAACGTAAATATTATTAAGAATTTATAAAAAAAAAAAGGAAAACTTATAAGAAATGGTGTAAATTTTATGGCCATAAAAAACTATTATAAATGACTTATTTCATATTTTATAGGGCTTATTCATGCAACATAATACAGTATTCAATTTCGTGCACACCTTAACTATGTTAATTTATGTAGTGCATGAAATAAAAAATTTAGTGGATGACGCTTATATTACGCTTTAAGACGTATTTACTAAAAAGGGAAAATATAATTTGAAAATATTTTTTATATAAAACAATTTTAGCATAAGCGCACTTTAATTATGTACATTAATTTTGTGATTGAAATGTTAAGGTTTATTGTTATTAATTATTATTTTTTGTTTGTTTTTGTTTCAGCACAAACAGAAGGGTCTGCATCAGAGATCTCAGTCCTTGAACAGGGGCGCCCGTGGGCAATGGGGTACTAGGGGTGCAGAAGGTGGTGACATGTGGTGACAAAGGGGGCAGTGCCAGTGCCCTGCAGGAATGGGTAACAAACTAGCTTGCTCCTGCACTCCGCTCATCAGAAAAGCGTATCGGTATGAGGATTCTCCGTGGCAAACATCCAGACGAAGGGACGGACACCTCTTACGGTACGTACACTACCACTCTATGCAGCAAAAGAGCAATTACGTAAAGTGCACCGCGCACTTACAGCCATCGTAAACTAGACGCCCTTAAAGAGAAATGCTAACGCCGATTCATAACCTTCCTCCCTTTTACAATTCCCGATTCTTACACAGAAAACCCTATATAAAATATTGAAAGGAATGAAGGAAATGCATATTGTATTACTTATTAATATATAATAAAGTTAACTAAAATTTATAGTATCATAAAAAATATATATACAAAATGAAATTCACAGCAGAATTCTAATAGATTTATTGATAATAAATTCATAATTTTGAAATGAACTTGAAATTATTTTTTTATGTATTTTATAATTAAATTTAATTAATTTGTAATTCAGATAATAGGAAAGTTTAAGTACAATGACGATGATTTATATTTATTCTTTGCAGAATATCTCGCATGAAATATAAAATCAATAAAGGCACAACTTTGCAAAGGCGTTCACTGCGTTCATTGTGTCTCGTGCGTCGCTTTTCTTTCATATATAATTGTGTATACTACTATAGAGTATACATATACGTATTAATTGATTAATTAACTTTAATGACCAACAATTATTGGTTTAAATTAATTAAGTGGTTTAGTTTATTTAAAAATTTATATAATTTACTTTATTCTGTTTTGTATCAAGAGTATACGACGGATTTAGTCTAGTACGGGTTGAAAATTTGAAAACAAGCAAAATATAAATTAATACATAAACTTATTTTTCAGTTAAGTTTTATTAAAGTTCTTGATTAGTCCGGTTTCAAACAGGCAGAGCCGATTATTCGCACTATACGAGGTATTGCTGTACTATATTTTTCCGAATTGAGTATTCAAGATAATGTTACTTGTTACTCTATATATTAAACATATAGTATAGTTGATTCACATTGTAAAAGAAGTATAGGAGTTATAGATAATTTAATGACAGTTTATGTGAATCAGAGAATATGGTTGAAAGTAAGTAAGAATTGTGAGTTTACTATTTGAAGTATATGTACTAAAAAATGGGATTGTACAGAAATGTTATAGATAATTTCAAAAAAAGTCAACTGATACAAAGGGTTATTGATCATAGGTTTTTCTGCCTTGTTATAGGTATTATACACATATTAAGTAGACTCGTTTCTTCTTGAATTTCTTATTCAATATATAATTATTCTTCATTTTGTATAAATAAAATTATAATTTGCTTATCTAATATTGTATATAAAATTATCTCAAAGTAATATGAGTAAAACAAAAAGGTATAAATATAATTGTCATAAAGAGCAGTTGAAATTAATTTGAAAGAATACAGATCAGTTTTTTTTTTGTCAATAAATTGGATTAAAGTGAATTTAAATAAAGAAACCTTAATGTCTAATTGTTTCGTATTAGGTAGAAAGAATCAATACAGTGTGCGTATTACAATGGAAATAATCCCATTATATAGCAAAAAAAGCAAAGGATCAAGTGATTAAAAATAAACTGCTTGATGGGGTTTGATGAATAAAATTGGTTTCTGGTTTCTTTGCAGATTATGGGCGGAGGTATTCCACGTATCGGCAAGTGGAGCGGGCACAGTTAAATGGCAACAAGTCAGCGAAGATCTTGTCCCAGTCAACATCACCTGTATCCAGGACTCACCCGAATGCGTATTCCACATAACAGCATACAACTCTCAAGTGGATAAAATTCTGGACGTGAGACTGGTGCAGCCCGGTAAAACAAATACGACTTATGATTGAGTGATGGGATAAATGTTGATGTTGTTGATGATTGTAGGTACTCGGATCGGACAGGCCTCGGAATGCTTCGTGTACTGGAAAGATCCAATGACCAACGACACTTGGGGTCTGAACTTTACGTCGCCGATAGACGCAAAGCAGTTCCGGGAGTGCTGTGTAAGTAATTCTTAAAAGTGTCTTTATTTCTCTATTTATCTATATCTTGGTATAATGCTTTCTACTGTCTTTCTTCCACTTCTTTCTTTTATACTTTTGACCACTGTTTTCAAGAATGCCGCTGCACTTTCAACACGCACACATTTTTTGCATTGGTATGGCTGGTAATGAACGCTTTCCAGATCTCTCTTCACCTTCTTTCGAAACAAACATCTTAATGTTTTAATTATCCGAAGAGCCATAAGGTTGCTGATTAATAGTAGTGTGATATGTTGCAGTCGCCATCCTTCAAGTTTTCGAGGAAAGCGTCCTCTTCGTATTCGCTGAAGCTCGAACCTCCCAACAAGCAGAAGCTGAAGACGAAGAGGAAACCTCTAAGCACCCCGGCCTCTCCCAACAGAGCCAGAGAGCCCCAGTGCACCTGCATGAGTGCAGAACAATATAACAGGCTGAGGACACAAGATCCTAGACACAGAGGTAGTAGATCATCAATCCACCATAAATATTAATGATGAAGATATCATGTGCAGATCATTTTCAATTATTACTGGTGTTGCTTTTGTAGGTTCTTCCACATTACCTCGAGCTCAAACTAGATCCACGGATACCGAATGCCGTACCGATAAAGTAACCGCCGCCACCTCATCAACTAGCCTTTACGATAATGTAAGCGCTACACAACCCGGATCAGCTCAAGGTAAACCTCATAACTATTAAATATTTGAAGAGTTACTAATATCAATGAAACTAATATTGTATATTTGTTAGTGGTGAATCAGTCTGTAATTGCATTGTCAAGAATAGACTAAGAGTTCTTGGTCTTGGATATTATTGATTTTAAAGTATTTTGTGCATGTTTCAGATTTCTGTAGTTTGTGATATATGTATTTATTGTTTTTAGGAACTTTGCAATTAAATAGACAAACTAGAGACAGAGGTACTCAACAACAGACTCAAGAAACTATGACCTCAACAACCCCGACAGGACCAAAAACTGGCACGACTTCGGTTGGAACACAAAACACAGCAACTTCCGAGGTAAATTACTCATTTATTGTGGTTTTAAATGGATTTTGATTTGTTTTTTTTTTTGTAGACGAACCAAACTGAAACTCAATCTCAAACGCAATCGACTGAATCTTCAAAATCCGAAGGCACTCAGGCCGGAGGAACTCTACAAAAGGATACCAAATCTTCGTCGACCTCAACCCGCCAACCATTGAGGGATACACATCACGTTCTTACCAACACCAAATCCGTCGATTATTCCGAGATTGACATGGTTCGCGACGCAGAGCTACGTGCTGCTCACCATCATAACATACTGAACAACAACATCAGCAAGAGGAATAAATCGAAGAGCACCGAGGATATGAATCGCGAGAACGGTATGAGTCTGGATAGTAACACTCTGAAGAGGATGCTGAAGCCGATGCCTAGCGTTGAGAGTCCGGTGACCTCCCCAGAAATGGGCAGGAGGCGATACAACTACTATAATAACCATCATAATCGTTACAACGGCCGACACTCCGAGTCCGAATCGGGTCATCCGCATCCGAGGTCCGCAATGGCTCATAATTCCAGATTCTCCGGATCAAGGCAACCACTAAATACGGGAGACCGGACGAGCGTTATAATTAATTGCCAATGATTTGCAGGTCGTCCCATGAAATCGGTCGAGGATATCCTGGCCGGGGTCTCTATTTGGAATTGGAGCGGGGATCGTGCGGCGACCTCTCGCCACCCTCCGACAACGTGCTCTTTGATAACCAATGTTATGCAACTACGCCCAGTTCGAGCAACGGTAACTCTGATCCAGAGTCTTCTCATCACTACGGTAGACATAGACACATGCATCCTCCGGTAATTACAAACTCAGCACATCAATCGAAATCACAACATGTATTTTTATTATCACTCTTCTGCACTATCAGAATCCCAATCCAACGCCAACCCCCGGATCACCGACGAGCCGTTTACTATTAGAATATGAAATGCACCTAAGGAATACGCTTGCCAAAGGAATGGATGCCGAGAGCTACAGTCTTCACACTTTCGAGGCTTTGCTCACTCAGAGCATGGAGAATCTTGGTAAATTGCCAATGATTAGATGGGGAACGCTCAGGCAATAATTTATGTTATGTTCTTTTTTTTTTTATAGAATTCGCCGAGAGTTTGCCCGGATCCAATCAACGCAGCCCGTACCCATCGAGAAAAAGTAATTCACGAAGTAAATACCCCTGTTACTATTCTCATCCAATTACTCTACTATACTTCTTCTTTCTATTCCTCGTATTTCTTCGATACTTAATGCTGCTCGGTTTCGTTTCAGGACCTGCTTCAAGTGCTTCCATGAACAAGTCCTCCACATTACCTCACAGACTGAATCAAAGTAGAGACAGCAGAGACAGAGACGGGTACTATAGTGATAGGAATGAGCTCATTAGAGAAAGAGAGAAGGAAAGGGAACGCGAACGTGGTTACCTTAGTGACCATAACTCGAGGTAACTAATAGCTATTATCAAGTATCAATGTTTGTACAATTAATCGGCTTCAAACAATATTCCTGATTTGATTTGAAATGTCAATGTTGATATTCATTTAGAAAAGTTATAAAGTATATTTAATCACACTGACAAGTACCGTTTGGTAGCAGAATGTGGGCTATTAATACTAGTATTTATATAATATCAAGGAATTATCTTTAATATTTGATTGTCTTACCTCGTGCAAGTATTAACAAATGAAATAAAAGTCTCTTTTATCGTTTTAAAAAATAATGTTTATAAGAATTTACAACAAGCCTTATTTTCTTGAAATTTATAAATGAGTATGCATTTTGAAAGTAAATAATAGTAATATTTCAATAATATCTTAAATTTAATTTATAAAATAAAAATATCACTAATAATATGTAAAAGCAAGTTTGTCTATCTTTGATCTTTCAAAATATAAATGGAAAGGTTTATTCAGAGATGAGTGCCAATATTAATTAGAACATACTTGTCTGTCCTTGTTCTTACAATATGCTAAATATAAGTTAAACGTTTATAATATTATCCAACATAAAAAGCTAATGCTTAAAAAGTAATGTTAATGGAAAGGTTTCTCGTTTGATCTTCAAAATTAAATTATAAAAGTAGATTTACCTTAAATTGATTTTACATCATAACGTTGATAAAGTGAGAATACTTTTAGTAATCAGCATTAAGCAAATACCAAAATGATACAAGCGGAAACTGTAAATATTTATATACGATCATATTTGCTTTTCATTTGATCTTCTTAATAGAAATTCAAAAATAAATTTGTATGATTTAGAAAATCTGTCCAACATCCAGTAACCATATTTTTCCGCTGTAACAATATTTTTTTTTACAACGTACTCAGTAAGTACAATTAGTAAATTATGACTTTTACAGAGAATGTTTATGAAAATTTCCTAAAAGTTAATTTTCAACTTTTATTAACATGAAATTTCATAATTTATTTACTATATGATGTCAATCAATTGAAGATCTTAATGAATTACTTGATTACAAAAACAAGGCTTAATAATTCTACTATAACAATATAAAATTGATAATTAACTTATGAAGTATCGTATAAAGTTGGTACACTTTATCAAGTAAATGTTATTTTAAACTTAATTATTATATTTAGGGCAGAAAGACTTTGTTAGCCCAATTAGTAAATAATAATTAATTAAATTTTCTTTATTTACAAATTTATTAGTCTTTTGTTCCATCAAAGAGATATCGATCAATTAATTTCTAATTTATTTATTAAAATATTATGATTTTTCTAAAAAGGGTTTGTCATGATCATGATATGGAAGTAAGAACATCCAACAAGAAAATACTTATGTATAATATTAGTTAAACAATCAAGGGTATTTGATATAACAACACAAGAGTTAATTAGCATGATATGCAACAGCGTGTCTGGTAGCTAGTTGCTAGGTTGTGCAGCGCATATAGCGGGGAGTCTCATTGTGTTGAGTAATTGTATATTAGTTTCAGCTCGAGGTGCGCTTCGTGCATTGGGGAGTCTAGCAGAGAGCAATGGTTCCGGCATTCGGACGGCTGGAGATCCGGAAGTTCAACGTTCAGTTCCGCACAGGGGGGAGCTCCACCAGGACACAAAAGGTCCCCATGGGATTCGCTGCCATCCCTCAGGCAAGACAGCAGCCTCAACGATAGCGGATACAAGAGCAACCGTGCCGACTCCTTTGAGCAAAGGTAAACACCGTATCAAATTACAGACAGTAAAATCTTGATTCTTCACACAACTTCTCGCTCTCTTTCTCTATCATCTATACTTTATTTTTAGGGGCATGTTTGATAGGCAGGACAGCCTGAGATCCGATTACATGAGCGATCGCGAATCCAATCGTTACGGCATCGTCCAGCAGGCTTCCATCGAAAGCGCCGACTCCAGGTTATGCTACCTGACTTCCTCCGAGGTAAGTCTACAACCAAATCTATATACCGCACACAATAATTCTACTACTGAACCAAAAAAAAAGAACTAACAAACTCAGTACGAATACATTGGAAATTTAAAAAAAGACCAAACAAAATTACTGGTTATTGATAATAGAAGACGTCTGGTGTTTAAAGTCATGGATGTATTCGTTTTAGGCTAAATTTCGGAAATGTAGGCGCTTGGCAACGGTAAGAGACATACGAAATTCGAAAGAAATAAAAAGAGATATGCGTTTAACCGATACCTAAGTTTTCGCAAACATTTTCTTCCGCTTGTATTCTATTGTGTCTCTCTCTCTATATTTCTATGTATCTATCTGTCTACTTGAAATACTTCCATTCTTCATTTAGTGAAGAACGCTTTTCCGTTTTGTTTTCGTTCCATTTCCTTTTGGTAACCGTTTTTTGAATTGACCGTAGTTACCATTATACGATGTAGATGTCGTACTGTTGCCATCACCCGAAATTTACAACTAACAAGAAAATTGAAAAACGTAAATTTAAAACAACAATTGAATAATACAATACAAATTAAAAAAGAACGCATTAGAGCTTAATTCATACATTAATGATCCTCCCCCCAGTTGGTCTTTAGATGGTTCAGAATCGCTTTTGTTGAAAACTTTCATAATAACCTTTATTGTTAATGGAAATGGTAGATGTTAAGTAATCTCTTGTTCTTGAAATTGTTTTATTTATTTTTAGTAGATTGAGGGTAGATTAAGTAGAAAAAAAACTTCGATTCGATCCACGGAAAATTTATACCGAAACCCATAAATACGTAAGCCGAAAATAAGAGTGGAGATATTTCAGCGGGTTAAATAATGAAAAATGCGTTTCAAATCATCGTACATCTTAAGTTTATGTCTTTTCTCGTTGCGGCTTTTTACAGTATAAAGGAACGAACCTATTCGGTATTTGCATGGGAATCTCTATCCATCATTTTTCTGCATTTTTCGCTAGGCGGACGACCATTCTTATTTATTGTCGATTCCTTGCGAGCGTTTCGGAATTTATGTTCCTTCGACGACGGGGATAAATACATACATTACGTACGCGTCCTGGAAATAATATTTGCCTTCACTTTGGGAAATTGATCCGGAGGCTCCTCCAGAAACCGGAATTACTACAACTAATGCAAAAGATAAATATAGCTTCGGATATAGATATATTTTTGTTTACCGTAAGGAAACGTTATTTTCAGGAATTCTGCAAAGAATACATATTTCAAGTGTTTTACGTGAAACTGGGTCACGCGACACGTTTTTTGCTTTTGGTAATCACACCCTGTTTTCATATAGATCTACTTATTAAAGTGAAATTACCAGACGACGGGAATTATTAAGTAATTTACGTTGATGGTTTTTTTAAAATGTATTTATTAAAGAGAACATTTACAAATTTCAAGCAAAATATATAAATCTCAATTAATGGATTATTAACCTTCCACTTTACATTTACTCTTGCTGAAATTTTATTGCGTAATTAGCTTTCAAAGGAATTACTTTACTTTGTTTTACGCTATTTTATGGAGTATAAAAAATACAATTTTTTAAATTTACCTTCGACACTGATGCACTTTTGTAGTGACATAAAAATGGTCGAGATGAATGGAATTTGGGAGGGAGAAAGTCGTAAAAGAAATGTTAACTACGCCAATATAAATCGCATAAAACGCGACTATCCCAATGATAATAAAAAAACGGGATGGACCATTAATCGCGGATACGAATATTCTAAACTAACTTACCTTTATGAGGCTTTGTAGACACGGTTACTCTATAAAAGATAATTTAAAACAATTACGAAAATGTAATACATTTAGTTTTTAAATGTAAGAAATTTGTGGATAATTTTTAATTTAAGACTTTCTTTTTTAAGTTATAAAACTTTGATTTATACATTTTCATATGAAATATTTAGTTTTTCGTGTATACAAAATTGAATTCTATTGTCATTTTTTTTGGTTTAGAGACCATTAGCATGTAGCAATTTGGTGGAAAGCTTGCGCTAGTTGTGGTTATATCGAGTGACGGAATATCACTGCTGGTACCAATTATATAACATAACTCGGTATAATAGTGGTGCGGTCGAGGATCGACGTGACACTTCGTGTTGCTATCACTATTGTTATTATTATTATTATCATCATCATCGTCGTCCTATTCGGTATAGAGGACTATTCACAAACTAGACAATATAATAAAGGAAGAAGCGTTGCTTTGAAGGATATTCATGATAATGGACAAAATTAATTGAGTAAATCAATATCATGTTATATTGAGATATTGCCAATAGATTTTTTTTTGGTGTGTAAATGTAGTTGTATCATTTAGATCAATATGATTGTTATATTTGCAAAAGGTGGTGGAAAGTAGTTTGTTGAAAATTTGATACAACAAATTGTGTGGAAAACAAGATAAATAAACTAAAAATGGTGTTTTTCTGTGGAAAAAGATAAGAAAACTTAAGTTTCTTTTTTGTTTATGAAAACTAATGGAAAGGAAGGAAGTTTTTTTTACCATGAAAAATAAATGCGGTTTCATATTAGTCTATTTCTATAAAAAGAAGAGATTCGCCATGAAAAATAAATGCTCGAACAGAAGTTTGACGATAAGGGAATTAAAGTTCAAGAAGAGACAAGCGTGAAGGAGAAAGTTTTTCCACCCTAAAACCATAATGTTACTAGTAAAAAGCTCAGACCTATAAAAAAAGTGTATAAAACGTTTATTATTATTTTCTTGAAATTTAGTTTTATAGTAATTGATAAATCAAATTTCTAATCAAGTAAAATTTGATAATGTTTCTGTATATACAGTAAACAAATGTACGTTTTGTGAATAATGAGGGTTGATTGGGTTGCGTTGTTGTTTTGCTGTGCTTGTCTGTAAATTAGATTTGTGTATAATATTTTGGAATAGAATCGAACGTTCGTTGCATATTTTATGAATGCAATCTACATTAAAATGTGGTTTTCATTCATTTTATATATTGGCAGCAGGAGGAAAATTCAAAAATAAATAGAACGCGGAGGCGAAGTGCGGTGGTTCAGGGTTTTAGTTGTGTGATGTTGGGAATGCAAATTACGATCGTAATGTAATTTCGTAATTTCTTGTTAAAACGCAAACACTCAATATGCATTCCAATCACCACCCCGGATCGCCTCCACATTTTGCAAGGGGTGAAAATTCCAATTTTAGATTACCTATTTGCAATGTAATAGAACGCCCGTCACTATATTATGAATGTATTATGACGTAACTCAATGCAATTCAATGTTATGTATTTATTAAAATTGTAATTTACATGTTGGCTATACTGGTTTATTTATTAGAACTAAATATACGGAATTAAATATTTTCTTCAAACATGAATAAATCTACACTTAAAGGTGATTTTTAACAAACAAAAACTTAAGTATTAATTCATTATTAAGTGAGATAATATTTTCTAGTGTATTTTTCTATACAATCGTTGATTTGTTTATTTTTTCGTGGAATTTATTGTGTGGAAGCGCCGGGTTATCGAAATATATTTGATTTTATAACCAATTATATTTTTTCTAAATAATTATAATTATTTGCAGTTGAAATAAAAAAATAATACATTACGTAATAAAATTATGAAAATCTTGAAAATATCACATATCTTGTTACATATATCGACTACGTGAATGAAATAATGTGATTATTGAAAATGGGTTGGATTATTGATTATATGCCCGGGGTTTTTCTTCTTTAATTAATTGTACGTTGAAAAGTTTAGCGTCGGCTTTGGATAATCCTAATTATAGCCGCTTCTAATTGGGTTTAGGCCGCGCAGAAGATAATCCCGGTCGTGTCGGATCAAAGATGAACTAATGAGAGGCGATTTGAGAGTCGATGAAAAAGAAACAAGAAACAATCTTGATTTCAATGTATACTCATTTCTAAATTTAGATTTTAAATACAGTTAATATGACAGTTATCAAAATAACCAAAATACGAACGAACTTATGTAACAACTAAATAATTAAGTTTATTTAAAATTTTAATAAAATTACAACAACTATTTATATGATATTGTTACATGTATTCAGTATATCTAATTAGATTTGAGAAATAAAATTGATTAAATTTGGTTGAAATTGCAATATTTCATTGAAAATTATTTCTACTTTCTAGAATAATTCATGAATTTGAAATACACATTCTTCAGTAAATTAATAATATATTTAAAAAGAATAAATGATAATCATGATCATCAAAAGAATGATGATATTATGTAATTATTTAAAGGTATCTATGAGATAATTTAATATTGAACATTGTAAAAGGAAGTTATGAGCTTCATCTGTTTGAATGAACTGCGAATATGAAAAGTTATAATTAGGTTGCATAACAAAAAGGTAACTAAAACGGTATTTTTTTTTTAATTTAACTCAATTTTGTATGAAACTAATTACAGTTACAAATGATTGTTATAAAATCGTTTGTATTTAAAAATATTTCAATTCTACCTTAAGTTACAATTTCTTTAAAACGAACATTGTATATATTATAATATTATTAACAATTTTTTTTATTCTATCTTTCAATAAGTTTGGTATTAAAGTTTTTCGTTGTTTAAATATTTCGTATTGTTACTCGTTATTTGACAAGTGACTTGCCAAGTACATTTATTTGATAATATTCTGTATAAATTGACTTTGATTACGTATATGATGTCTATATTAGATGCTTGGTTATATAATTGAGTGGTGTGTGGCCGACTTTATAAAAAGTTGATGTTGAAATAACCAACGAATGTTTGAAGTGTATGGGAAGTTGCTCTACGTAAACTGCATATTTATCGATCGCGAAAATATTTATAGAAAGCGCTCGACCCCGAACGGAATCCGGGAGGAGGGTGAAAGTTCGCGAACCCAGGTTAGGTTGTTATGCAAGAGGGCTTAAACTCGATTAAGTAAAACAGCGCCTCAAGATCCGAGGTTGTTCTC